CAGGTGGTGGCGTAACTTTGCGAGGTTCAGATGGACAGCTGCACTCCAGAGCTCCTCCGAAACCTCTCAGGGTCTCTGTTGTCTTCCCCAACGCCGTCCCTCCCCCACCCACAGACCGAGACTATGACCCCTCTTCTTTCTACGATGAGCTGGTGGTCCAGGTAAGGAACCCCTCACAAACCGCTCACTGCTCAGTTGATTGTGATTTTAGCTGTAAAATGAGTAAGGCTGTCTGTAAATGTCCACTTCCTGTTGTGTCCAGGTGCCACAGTCCGGACGGAAGGGTCATGTGGACCGACTGCGTGCAGAGGAGAAGTGGCAGAGCCGGGCCCGCCTCACAGAGACTTCCTTTGGCTTTCTGGAGGCACAGAAAAACGAAGAATCGGTGCCGATACTGCCGCAGAAGAAGGGGGCAGAGGAAGTGGAGGACTGGCATTTTGAAAAGCCACATGTTTGTATAAATTCTAATAATATTATTATTATTATTTCTTTAATAGTTAGTCAAAGTTTTCACATTTGCTTAAATTAATAAAACGGTGTTTTAAAGGACTACACCAGGGTTTTGTAAGTCTTGTATATTTTATATTGTTGCAGTTCAGATTCATTTTTAAATGCATTTGTCAAACAGAAAGTAAAGTCTAAGTGATTTGTGGTAAATATTCCAAAACATGCAAAGCTACTTTTATGATCCCGAAACAGTATAAGATATAATGCAAAGGAATGTAGTTATTATTATTATTATTATTATTATTATTATTATTGAATATCCCTTAGTTTGAAAGGTTGTGATTAAGAGAAACTGATCAGGATTGTAATCTTAAAATATGTGTAGCTAGCAATGTGAGCTACACTGAAAACCTGCAACCACAGCAACATAAAAGGAAACTTTCCATGTTCTTAAGATCATGTCTAGATGGACCTTTTACTTTTGTTAATGCTGACACATTCCTGAGAGAATCTACGCGCCTGTCCTCATGTTGTTTCTAACATGATATGGCTGAACTGGCTTGCTGAGTTTCTTTTTGCCACCAGGTGTCAGAGTGATGCTGTATGTGACGGTTTATAACAGCTGTCTGTTTGAAAAGTGCTATATACGCTTCTCAGTAATTAACAACTGTCAAATGAGTTGCACACAACTCATTTCACAACAACATTCAACATTGCACACCTACAGTACAACAGGTAACAGCACAGAGGGTCAGTCCTGTACTAATGTTGTAACATCCTTCTTACACCATCACAGGTAGAGTCAGAGTCGTGTTTCCAGTTGGATCACTTTAAGTCGCTGCTTTTGCCAGAGAACAACCGGCCTCTGGAGCCCAGCGTCCTGCTGGCACTCAAAGAGCTCTTCAACCGATCAAACGCAGACACCACCGCTCTGCACATGCTCAGTGTTGACTGCCAGGTAGCTCTCAACAGTCTTTGCCAAGTAGATCTTCAGAATCAATATATGCTTTATTTTTTATGTTTGTACAAAAAAGGTCTAAGATCCTATCAAATGTTTAAATCAAATGCAAATAATAGGCTAAAACTACCCTATTCTGAATGATTCATATAGCTTCAGCCAACATAATATTCATCATGACAAGTTATCATTTGTGTTCGATACAGAACATGTCGCATAAGGCGTATTTTTAAGTTGTAAGAAACTTGCTAAATTGATTCATTCTTATGTTTTTCTATAAAATTAGATTTTTTTATGTCTGTCATTTAAACATTTAACAGTTTTAATAATTACAGGCCCTGGTTTATAGCTTGGTGTTTTTCAGTAAACTTAATAAACCAAACTGCCACAAATCGAGATAATCACTCAAAGAACTGGATGTAGAACTTGAATGGCCATTGATCTGTCATTGTTGTGGTACTGCAGGTAGCACGCATCGTTGGGGTGACTGATGAGCAGAAGAGGATTATGGGAGTTGGATCGGGGCTAGAGCTGGTCACTTTGCCACACGGACACCAGTTGCGACAGGATTTGTTAGAAAGGTACACAAAGCTGACACACTTAAAAATAGAGATGAATAGATACTCTAGAAGAACTGTCTGTCATTCTGCCTACTCTCACACACCTCTAATATATTTATCTTCCATTTTGTAGGCATCATCTAATAGCATTGGGAGTCGCAGTGGACATCCTGGGCTGCACAGGGACTGTGAGCCAGAGGGCAACCGTTTTACATAAATTAATCTTATTGGCTCAGGCCCTGAAAGAACACACCTCCAACCTCTACTCCTTCTCAGCAGTGATGAAGGCTCTGGAGATGCCTCAGGTAGTGTAATTATGACTATGCTTGCTCTATGCAAACTTAGACAAAGAGGAAGCTGGTTTAGGTTTTCAAACACTCTTGGTATGTTTGTGCGTGCAGATAATGCGCCTGGAGATGACGTGGCGAGCGCTGAGGAGGAACCACACAGAAACTGCGGTTTTATTTGAGAAGAAACTCAAACCCTTCATGAAGTTGCTGAACGAGGGAGACGGTGAGTGGTGTTGATAAAGAGAGAAATGCATTACATTACATTCATTTGGCAGATGATTTTGTCTTTTTCAGACTCAGGAGCTGCAGTCAGTTTGTCTCCAATGTAAAATCAAAAAGACTGAGGAATAAATCCATAAATGAAATTTAGCTCGTCTCATCACTTGAAACATTTTCAGACTTTGCACATCTCCCCCTGGAGCCACAAAAGACTTTATACAACTTTTTAACATATGCAGTGGTACTCCCAGAGACCTATAAACAGACTTTGAGATGTAGAATTGGCACACTTTCCCTTTGATAGAGTGAAGTTCTAAATAAAAAAAACCTGTTACTCCAGACAACTGCTATATAAATAGCACTGTGGCCCTGTTTTTAGGTAGTGAATGTATTGCATATATTTTATGTGTACTCTGTGCTCATTTTCTTTTCTCTATAGACTCTGTGGTCGATGGTCCCATAGCCGTGCCACACCTGGTTCCTCTGCTGATGGCGATGGAGGGTGAGGACCCGGTGGAGGACAGTGAGCGAGGCTGTCAGCTTCTCTACGATGTCCTCCAATCAGCTCGCAATGCTGCGCTGCACGCACAAGATTATCAGCAGCACGCACACTCTCTGCTCACAGGTACGCAGGCATGCACAGTAATGTCCTCTCTTCTTTTCATTGACAGACAAAGGGCCTCATGCAAGAACATTACTGTACACTTATCCATTTTTTGGGATGTTTGTTCTCGCAGTTGTATTCACCAAATTCTCTTAACTTGAAAAACTTAAAAATAACTTGTTTTAACCTGATGAATGTCACCTGTTCATGAGGAGGTGTGACTTGCTATATAAGGCTAACTGTTCTGCTCCGTTTCTAGGTTTAATTCACAAAAATATGACCAAAATTGGACTGTTGGAAATTAGCAGACAAAAATGCAGTCAGTAGTGGAGCAGTAGGACCTGAAACCATTAGAAAAAATTGCTAAGCTGCCAATGAGGTTCACCAAAGCAGCAATGTACTGGGACAGAAATGAAGAAATAATGGTTTGACGCCAAAAAGATCTGAAACAAAGTGGTCTATGATTTGTGTAGGAGTTGTCATGTCAAATATTATATAGTCTGTTTTATAAGGAGAATGAGCTCCTGGAGATTGACTTACATAAACACCTTCCCATGAGGCAGCTGCTGGAGTGAGAGGAAAAATTTTCTTTTACTGATTTGTAATTTTTCTTATACAAATCAGTAAATCAAATCAAAAATAATAAAGATAATGGTGTTGAATGTCAAATTGGCGACAATAATATGTTGAACAGAATATTAATTTAGCAAACGTTTATGTGCGAGTTAAATATGCTTATTTATATATCTATTTATAAAGCATTTATAGTACTATTTACTTTAGTTTTAACAACTTAATTCAGATTACAGACTGTACTTCTTAAGTCAAACAGGTGTTTTCTGCCCTATCGAGAGAAGTAGATTTTCTTTTACATTTGTACCTCAGGGAAAATTCTAAGTACAAGAAAATTGGTGATTGCAACAAATTCTCTTGAATCACATCACATATTAACGTCATTGTAAGGATAGAATAAACACACTTGCTCTGGCAGGAAGCACAAAAGTGTAAAGTATTATACTCTAAAACAGTGTGTACATTGTGAAACTGAATGTGAAATTACATAATTGGTGGTATCTGATCCGATCAAATGTTTGACACGCTTCTTGCGCAGGAGGCTGGGAGCTGATCCCCGAGCTGCTGGAGGCTTTCCGGACGGAGTTCGCCCTGCGGCTGTTCTGGGGTCAGTCAGGGGCAGCGGCCGACAGAAAGGAGCGCTATGAGAAGTTTGACAAGATTCTTTGTGTCCTCTCAGATAAACTGGAACCCGTGGAGATCACCCCACAACAACCTGACCCTCTAACCTGAGCCTCAGGGCCTGTTTCTCTAAATTAAAGGTGAAATCAGCACTTTCTTCACTAGGGGAAAATAAAAAGCAGAGATGAAAGTGAAATGTTTTATTTGAGCCTCGGCGTGTTGCAGGAACCAAGGCGGGGATCTCACCCCTGAGATCACACAGACATAAAGAAAAGTTCTTTTTGAGATGTGAGAGACTGTCAAGCAACAACTTAACTTATAAGAGAATGAATTACATCTGGCATGTGCGGGCCCAGGGCAGTCCTTTACTGTGAAAAGGGCTGCGTTGGATTTATTTGACCTTTTCAGGAAATCTGAAACTGTTTACCCAAAAAGTAGCATCTGTTTACTTTTTTTAAATGTGCATTTCTGATACTCCAACACTGTTTTATTAATCCACACCACTTGTTTGATACTTGAGATCCAAAGGACCAACATGAACACTATCAAAACTGAGTTAGTTCCCTTTGTACGTGAACTGCTGCTGTAATGGACCACACTGGAAATTGTGTTTTTAATTTTCAGTGTTTATACTGCAATGAATGTATGTTTATTCCTTTTTGGTTGCCAGTTTTTGCATGTAATATTTCTCATAAATGATATTGTAAAGAACCACAAATGACAATAAATGTTTTTTTCTTTGCACTTTATGACTCAAATGATACAAAAAAAGATGGATCATACAATAATACCCCTAAAATGTCCACTAGTCCAGAACAGAGTGGCAGAGAAAGAGATGGGTAAAACCATACCTGGCCAAACAAGATTTTGAAAGTCCTCCACTCAAACATTTGTTTGTTTTCTTGTTTGAGCTTCATTGTGCAGAATCATGTATGTCCGGAGTTTGACAAATGTGTCTGCTACAGGACGAAAGTTTCTCTGTGCTTTGCCTTAAATCTAAAAACCATTGTCTGTTTACCCAAGAGTGATATGGAAACTTAAAACCTCGAGACCACAAACAAAATGAACTTTCCAGTATAAAGTATTCATAGATTCTGGATTTTATGATGAGAAAGAAGCAGACCATAGAATTGTTAACTAGCTAAATTAAATTACTTTTTTGTGGAAAAACCATATTGGACACATTATTTACAGCAGAGTATTTTTAAAACATGTCTGGAGTGCATCTTTAAACAATTTCTTTTTACTCCTGGCAGTGGAGTGTTTAAGATTCAGCTCCTCGTCTAGTCCAATTTCCTTCCATTTAAACTTGGTTGAACAGGTCATCTGGATTTCAGGTCAGAATAATGACAAAGGTTTATAAAAATGTCCTTTGTTTCAGAGTATTTCAGAAGGCCAATAAGAGGCCTGGAGGCTCAGTATATAAAAACGGGGTTAAACCATGTAAAACCAGTATACACGTGGGAGAAATATAAAAACCATCAAAGAAGAACCAGTTGACGACCAGTTTTTCTACTTTTATGTGCAAAGTTGGAATTAAAAAAGTGAAGACCAGGACTTCCACTTTAGTGTTGCACATCTTATCAAATTCAAAAACACGCAGTTCACCAAGTATGTGTGTCAGTAATTATAACACGGTTAATGCCATATTTTTTACTTTACATTGAACTGATTATTGCTGTTGTGCTTTTCCATTTTTTTTTTTTTTTACCAACCCTGTCCTAAATTCAGAAAAAGACATTACAAAGCAAGTTTCCTTGCAGACTTCACTTTAGTAGGGAAACTAATATATCATATGCAGTTCAAAAGGTTCACATTGCCACTTCATACTGGTCATTAGATCCCTCCATAAAGGGGCTCCAATGTCAGGGATGCCTTTGTTCTGTGTAAAAACATTTTTGAAGGTTATTTGAAGCTAATATGAAATCCCAGCAGGCTGAGTTACTCATATCAAGAGGGCATCTTCTAAAGTCTTTTTAGTATGAAATCAGTGTTTTCATGCTGAGCTGTAGTGGAGGATAGTAACACAAAGAATTAATTTTGTATTAAAAAAAAGAACGTTGGAAGATGTCCACTTGATTAGTCTAGCCGCAGAGGCCTCATATTAGCTTCAGAAAACTGCATTTTTCTTCCCAAAAGGAGAAACATTTGGGAAGTGCATTTTGTTCCCCATCTCTTACATTAGAAGCACATAAGGAAGGGATCTCTTCAGGGCCAGTATGAACAGGAGTGATCACAGCGAGCCCGTTTCAACGTTCATAGGGGAACCTGTGTATTGTTTTAAGACAAACAATAAAAAACTGTGAGCATATCCTTAACTGTGACATATAGAGAATTTATATTTTGCGCACTCCCTCTAGAGTAGTGGTTTTCATCCAGTTATAAGTCATATAACATTACTATGATTTATAAAAAAAACTCACATTATCCTGTCAGAAAAGAGGTTTTAGCAGAGGGCCGGTGTTACAGAAAGAAGTTCAGCAGGTTATTACAAATGGCAGCGGGAAAGTCAAGTTAATGGATATATCGACATAAAGAAATGTAGCATCAGGCTACTATGATGCTGAATATGTTACATGAGTCGTCACTTAACACTGTGACAAAAAGTTCAGGTATACATTCAAAGGTTTGGCTTCTAAAAGAGCTTAAATTTATAAAGATCAGACAGGACTGACAGTCTGCGTTTGGAGACAGCTTCTCCTGCTGCGGCGAGCAGAGACAGGGAGTGTATGATATCGCAATCAGCCTTGATAACAAGCTTTATAATCACTCACTTTCATCTCACTATACACGTCACTGGCTGAGATAAAAGACGTAGAGAACAGCTCCAATTATCATGGATGACTTTGTATTCACTTTTGACTCTTAACTTTCCATCACAAGCTCTGAGAGTGTGTGTGTGTGTGTGTGTGTGTATGTGTGTGTTATGGGCTAAGTTTGACGTATGATGAAGGTATATAGCCCTCTTCTCCACCGGCTCTAAGGACTCTCATCCATCCATCTCCTTTATCCTCCTCCATTATACTCAACAGCTCTCCCTCCGTAATGGAAATGGTGCCCTCGCTGTTGCCTGCACACAAACACACACGAGTAAGACATATAAAAAAGGCTAAAATGGGATCTATTTATGAACAAGTGGAGTGTGAATATTACAGCATACCTTCAAATGTGTACAGAGCCGTGCACTGGCCAACAGGAGTTTCTATGTCGTCGAACTCGTCTTCAAAATCTGTATAGATGTTCTGAGACTGGTCAGCTGCTACAATCCTGAAAAAACACACATCCAAGAAAACAAAACAATTGATACATGTTACTTTCTCAACGTATTCTGCTACACACGTTCACATTTATTGAAATAGGTCAACATTTCGGGAAATACCTTTATTTGCTTTATTGCCAATACTTGATGCCACTGTGTGGGAGTGTAACTGTACACAGAAGTCAAGATTTGGTTCATACCCCGGTTCACGAGTCACAGTTTGGTACAGCGGGGAAAAAAAATCAACTAATGCATAAGGAAGTCTATTAACATTAACATGTGCGAATGTGCATTAGTATGTTCGACATGTTTCCATTCATATACAATAGTGGAGCAACACTGACACACCCTCCTGGTCTCATCTTCAACTCTCTGTCGCTCTTGTAGCTAGTAATTGTTCCCAAACAACCGATGTACAGGACGCAGGTGGCTCTTCCAGCTCCAGTGTTTCATTAGCTTGTGCTAACCTTAGTACATGTTGCCAACGACGTACAGCTAAATGTTTCCAGGCAGAACTCGCATTTTTAGTTTTAATTTGAATACTTAATTATCATCATCATATCATCATTATTTTTAATATATATATATATTTTTTTTATTTCTGTTTGATCAACATTACTGACCATTATATTGTTTTATAAACATTTTGCTGTTTTATCATTATCAGTTCTTTTGTGTCGTATTTCATAATCTGATTGGTTTTATTGCTATCTTTTACTATCTTAACTACTCATCTTTCATTGTCTTATTTAATTAACTTGCTAGCTTATCTACACTGTTAGAAGAGGAAGAGAGAGAGAGAATAACAGCACTGTCCTGCTGCATATCTTCATGCCAGTTCTGACAAACTGTGATTCAAACAATGCAAAAAAGTACAGATGAATCACTTGTAGTTGCAAATTTCCTTCTAAATATTGATTACATCCATTATAAACAATTCTAGTTAATTATATATTTAAAATCTCACTTAAGGATCCCTTCAACTGTTTACAACAAATGTAATCTTCAATTCTCACTTTCTACTGAAATGTGTCCACTGTAACATTGATGTTGTAAAACATTGTCTAACCCACAGTCAGTCTGGTATCCATATTATATTCATTTTTTTCCAATAGAGCCTCCTAAATGTTACACACACGGGTCCTTTAAAAGTAAGCGAATGAGTGTATTTCCCAAAATGTCAACCTACTCCTTCAAATACAGGTCTTACCCATGTTGAGTATTGTTGTTGATGGTGTTGGAAGATTCATCTCCTCCCACGGCTTCTGCCAGCCACGTCTGTGACGAACCAGCAATAGATGTCAAGACTTGCCCAAATGTACACCACTGTAATGTGATCTGTCATGCACACGATATCAGCATGTGTACGTGTGTGTGATAACCTCATATTTGGCGAGCTCTCCCCTCAGACGGCCTATGTTCTGGGCCGTTTCTGTGATCTGAGGCTCCAGACTGGAGGGGTCTCCCATCTGTGGATTCTGCTCATACACACCCTTCATCTTCTCCAGTGCGTCACTGAGGTCAGACGGAGGGAGGAAAGGGTTATTGTTTTGGAATTGCGAGCACTCATTGAGGAAGTTTCTCTCTTGTGCAACACTGCTGATAAGAACAGGAGGGATGGGTAGATGTGGAAATACATGCCATACTACTGTTTATGACATTAGTGAGGTCAGGAACTATTGAGGGGTGAAAAAGCCTGGCTCGCAGTTACAATTTATCCCAAAGGTGGTGGAAGGGGTTGAAGCTGGGGCTCCCCGACAGTCAAGTTCTTCCACACCAAAATGGAAAAACATTTCCTTATGGACCTGGCTTTGTGCACAGGGGTATGGTCATTCTGAAACAGGAAACATGTAACTGTTGCCACCAAATTAGGAGCACACTATTGTCCAAAATATCCCTGTATGCTGCAGCATTAAAATGTCCCTTCATTGAAACAAAGTGCCCAAGTTCAAACCATGAAGCCTCAGACCTGAAGTATGTTGACAACTTTGGTCATACGTATCTCAACTAACATTTGGACATGACTGTCACCTGAGAACTGTGAGAGACTTGATTTGGTTAATTTATTTGATAATACAACAAATTAAAGGCACAACGTATATGGGAGTCCTATATTGACACACAATTATCTGCCAAAGTTGAAACTGCTTTGGTAATTTCACATGAGCGATGTTTGTATCTGTGTTTTTACTGTATCTCTGCTCTTTTACCACGTGTTTATTACAGTTAGTTAGGATTGTTACTTATGTCACAAGACCGCTGTTAATCAAATCTGATCAGACCACAGCAACACAGACCAGACAAAGCAGATTAGCTCAATGTTAAACTCTTAATAAATAATAATTAGGGGATTTATTTTCCCAAACCTGAACTTTGGTTGCTGCTAATTTAGTCATGGATATTCATGCTTAAATACTTCAGCAGCTTTTAAGAATGTTTTTCATCTCTGCAGTTTCCAAGATTTCCAATTAATTCAAGCTGAACTAATTAACCAGGAAATGCACTGATATTTAAAAGTAGAGTTGCTCCAAAAGGGACACCGGTATTGTTGCTGTTTCAAAAGGTTGACCTCCTCCTGATGATGGTTTTAAAGTAAATCTAAAAGCTTGAAATTGCAACAACAGATCAGTATCACTTTATAATGTGAAAAAGTTAAACGTTATAATAATGTTTTCACGTTATTACAACACACATTATTACAGGAAACTTAATTTTTTATATACTATTTATAACCTCAAATGTTTCATGTTATAACGTGATAACTTATATTGTTATATTGTGTCGTTTTGGGTTAAAATGGTTCCCATCAGATCCGAAAACATATCCAGAAATAATGTATTTTTGTGTAAAATTCAGGTCACATTAGGTGTTACCACCACATTAGGTCCAATCTATGCTGCCCCAAACAACTTCAAATGATCACACTAAACACCATGAATTAAAACTAATACTCAGCTGCATATTTCTGATAGTAAAATGACAAAACAGAGTAAGTCTGTGTTTTCAGGCCTTAGAGATGCCCGTGCTGCTGTCGTCACCTTTGGTCCTGCGCCTTCTGCAGATCTTTAGTGATATCATCAATCTTCCCCTGCAGCCTCTTCTTCCTCTGCTCCGGAGGAAGGTGAGAGAAATCTTCTGCAGCAGGGGGCTACAGACACACACACACAATCCAAAAACACACACAACAACTATTCTAAGCATCATGTATACAACAACTTTATCAAAGCTCACCACCAGATGTCACTCCTCCTTGTCTCTCTTTCCCACCGCTAATACAACATCTACACACAGACCGACAGATTACTGCAAAGAAACTCAACAATAGAGAGCCACATAATTATTCTGTCAAGGACACAAACTTGTGATGATTTTTTATTAATTGATTTAAATTCAATTCTAAGAGTTTGAGACAGAGTTCCTATGTTGAGGAGTCACAATGTCAAAAGCACAATCAACTTTAGTTCTTATTTTTCACCTTTGAAATGCTAAAATATCTTGCTATTTTGCTGACTTCTGCACTAATTTGAGCTAAACTAGCACAAAAAGCAAGGATGATTTTCTCTAAATCCTAAGTTAAAAGCAGAAGCCCAGTTTTTACAATAAACTGTGAGTATTTCTCCAAAGTATAGGAAATTTGCTGTTGCATGGCCAGATACCACTGGAAGTAGCAGGAAAATATATATTATTGTAATGTGGATGAACTGACCCTTTAAGTTTAAGCTACAAAGACAATATGAAGTACTACACATAATGATGTGGAGCTGTTTTGTAGTTTGGATAGTTGTGGTTCTGCTGTCAAATGAAATATACATTAAACATTGTGCGCAATATCAGAGGCTTGTTTGTTGTTCTCAATAGAGGGAATTAAAAGTTAAATATCAGTATGGCATCACAGAATAAAGACTTGGCTCTCTGGTATTCAGTTTGAAGAGAAAGTTAATACTGTTCCCTGAATAGAAATGTAGTCCCCTGTGCCATGAGAAAAATGAATTTTATTTTGTAAATTGAGGAGTAACTGCACTTAGGCAAATAATTTTGCCGCTGACCACACTCAGCTGTGATCACTGATGAGAATAAAGCCCGGTCACATCTGCATTTAAACAGCAAAATGTCGCAGAAAATTAACCTCATTATACTGGAATTGGAGCAATCAGTGGATTTGATCACTCATATATTACCATTACATCTGAGTCACAGCGCTGAACATCCAATTATCTGAAAAAAGAATTACCCGGCTATCTTGGAAAGGCGAACAAGGTCGTTCAATCATCTAATATTTTATATTTTCAGACACAGTAACATGTTAATACTTTGTTTGTGTTCTGAGTAAAGGCGTATGTCATTTCTAATTAGATGGATTAGGAAATATAGTCATAACTTCAGAAACAGGTCAACAACCTTTTTTGCAGATGGAATATTTTTTCTAATCCAGGTTGTTAGAAGAGTCTCAGATCATCGAGACATTTTGTTAAACAAACTTCTGGGTTTTCAGAGATGGCTGGGTAATTATTTTTTTGTAAATGTAATGGTAATACGAGAGCAGCACAAACTGACTAACTAGCCAACTAGCTTGCTAACAAACATTTTTCCCCAGGAACAGCGCAGGCTTTGAAGCCAATTTGACATAGTGGCCGAACCGTGTAATTACAGCCATGGCATCCGTCACATGACGCATACTGGCCCAAAAATCTGGCTCATCTGGGTGAGTTCTTTACAGTGGGAAGTGGCTTTTTTTTTTTTAACGCTGAGAAAACAGTGCAGACAATGTCCTTGTTAAAATGGATTAAAAAAATGCCAAAAGATTTAGGGTTAGGGTTATGTTGTGGTTAGGGTTGTGCTGAATTATGGGTTTTTGGTCCAATTTAGGCACTTTCTCAAAGATGTGACCGGGCCTTTATTCCCTCCATGTTCCCCATACGGGTCAGTGCAGCATGAGTTAGAGTAGAGGTACTCCTTTAATAGTATTTGAAAACAATCCAGCACCAGAATACTGTTATTTAAGCACCTTTTACGTCTACCCTCTATGTAACCATAATAAGTGTTACCGTGTGCTTTTCAGCATGTGATATCTGGACACAGAGAAAGGGGACATTCAGTATCAGATAGGTATACAACAAACACACCTCATGGGAAACACACTTTTACATTAACAAGCATGGTACACTTTACAGGTAGTCTCAAGGCAACTGTCTTCATTAAATGTTGGAGTTTGAAGTCAAACTGTTAAGTTTTGAAAAGAAAAAAACAACAACTGTATTTTCAAAAACTGTTAAAACTTATTAAAGTATAAAAACAATTTAATATTTTTAATTGCAACTATTTAATTTTCAAGCACCCAAATAATGAAAAACAGCTCACTGAATATGTTTTGAAAACCGGATTTTTTGTTTCTAAACCTCAAAAGATTTAAGTTTTTCTAAAGACGAAAAGTAAATTATCTCAACAGAAGATTTAAGATTGGCAAAGCGTGTTTTAGTTCATTCAAAAACGTTTTAGTTTGACTAAAGACTGACTGAAGACATATGCCTTGAAATTAAGAGTTATCTCAACTTCTCTTTTTTAACAGTTTTTACTAAAGCACAGTGACAGAATATGAACGTCAAGATGTAACAGCTTTTTTTAAATGAACAGCATCAATGAGACATATACAGTACATGAGGGGGGGGGACCTGAGCAGATGTCGTCACTCACCGAGTGCTGTTTGTGTAATATCTTTAAGGTGGAAATCCTGGGTTTGACAGAGCGATTAAACTCTCTCAGACAAAGAGAGAGAGGGGAGTGCTGCAGCTTGGAAAGGTGGAGGGAAAGGGGGTTGCTGCCCGGCGGGAAAGGGGATGGGGGAGAGAAAGACGGAGGGACGAACTGAAGAGAAAAAAGACAAGGTAGGAGGAACAGGGAGCAGAGGAAGAGAAGCAAAGGAAAGAGAAAATTAGAAGAAGAGGGAGTCAAAAAGAGGATTTCTGTAGTAAAGTGGATAGAGAGTTAAAGAGAGAACAAGGGGTGTTTTGGGGCAAGTCTGTGCAGCACAGTGGAATTAGAATTGGCCCCTGAGGGCAACAGGGTGGCGGGGTAAGACATGAGTGGAATGTGTGCTGAGTTTCATGTGTGTGTCTGTGTGCGTGTGTGCGTTTTAAAGCATTGTTATGAGATCGTGTGAGAGTATTTTAAACTTCTTCAGCAATCAGCAGGACCAAGATAAGGGAGCTGGTTTGTGCTCACTGTATGTATTTGACAGCTGAAGTTCTTTAAAGCTGTCTTCAATGTCTTCTAAAGCTCTCTACAATGTTGTCAACCCTGAAAAATACAGGTTTGTCCACAGTTAGCTGTAACATGACACCTATTAGTGTACTCAGAAATGTTGATGCAATTATTAACTGAAATTAAAACAGTTATTAAAAGGATAAGTCTGGTCATATTTATGTTCTTATGGCAACAAATCCTACTAACAAAGCCTGATACATCTTATTCCTCTGAGCCACACACTTCTATTGTTTGTCCAAAAACGATTAAAAACACATCAGTCAGCCACACTGTTGCACTGGGTAACATGTTTCTTTCTTTAATCCACATGGGCATTGTAGTTCATCGGTGCCATAAAAAAATCCCTTGCATGCAAAATGTGTACCAATCCCTGACTGAAAATAGTCCCTAACAGATGCATTATTTACTCCTGTTTGAGGAACGTTTGCTACAAACTGCAGCTGTTGCTGTTTAGAAATAACTGTGTTTTTAAAAATTAACTTCACTCTAGAGATTAAATGTCTGAAAGCACTGAGGTTGAAATAATACTTTGTTGGTTTTGGTCTTTTCATGGAATTTTCTGACAATAAGAAAAATATACAATAATAATAATAATATACCTTTTAAGAAACAATCATAATCTGCCGGTGTAATTGTCACCATTTAACACTTACATTTACAGCTTCCTATAACTATAAAGTATAATATACAGCAAAAACAAAGCAGTATTGGTGATGGTGCCACATCCCAAAATTATATAACAATATCAAGAATAAAGCCACCTGCAGACTCAATAGAGTAAAAAAAGATTTATCGACTATAAACTATGATGTTTCGACATTACCTCTTCATCAGGTAACTCAGTGTGTGACCAAGATGCAGGTCTTGCCCTATTATCAGTTACATATTGCATCTTATTAACAATGCTGATTTAAACACTAATATGTATAAAATGAACGTGCGTCATGCAATCAAATGTAAACTGGAGTGAGTAAATAAGTTATATGTAATTATTTAAATCAGATTTGTGAACATTAAACCATTTTATCTGTGTTTTTAGAGTGAATTAAATTTGAGAGTTTTTTACAGGTTTTAATTTCAACGTTAGAATATGTCTAAGGCTTCAATTTAAAACTGTGAAGCACTCTCATAATAATCATAACTCAATTATATGAGTGCTCATTATTGTTTCCAGGCAATACTATGTATGTTGCTTTTATTTCAAAATAAGAGCACACAATGTTTCAAGAAAGACTACCAAATCAACCTGCGTCTAAACAACCAGGATATATGGATTAGAAATTATAATTTTAGCCTGATATTAACTTGTTAACCCAGATTAGTTGAGCCACATTTGGAGAACAGGGCAGAGAAGACTTTCAGGTTGTCTAATGCAGAAGCAGAGGAGCAGGCAGAGAGGGGAAGGGCAGTGTCCTTGAGACAAAATATTCACTTATGCAAACTCAAAGAAGAAGAAAATCTAATGTGTGCAAATTTACCTTGTGCTTCTTGCTGAAAGGCCAAAGCTTGGCACGCACTTTGGGTGGGTTGAGGCTGGAGTCAGAGGTTGCTGGTTTGATTCCTTGGGTGTAGTCCTCAAACTCCACATCTGCAGGCCGCTCAAAACCAGACTTGTGCTGCTCTATGAACAATATCGAGTCCTGCAGGGAGACAAACAGTCCATGTGGGTTCAGAGTTACAAGCAGGTGTTCAATCGAGACCAGCCGGTAGTGGATATTTGAGTTTTGTAAGAATATATTAGGTATTAGTTTTCTAACATAAACCCATTAGTACTAAAGAGATGTACTGAGCAAGATAAAACAGCAAAACAGCAAACTTCACTGGAAATGACCCTCATTTACAGTGTGAGTGAGTGCTTAGGCTTTAAACCTAAAAAGCTAATGTATATAGAAAAAGAAACTCATTCCAGCGGTTTTGGTAACTAGCTGACTTTCTGACACTGAATCTGTTATCATCAGATCAAGTGTTTACTATGTGTAATATATGTTAACCTGTTTTCCATGTACTGAGACAACATACTCTATACAACAGAAAACATGCACAAAAATAGGTATGATACCGACACATTGCAAAATGCAAGTTCTAGATGTGTAGTTTCTGACTCTCAGTATGGAGCTTTTGTTATTGGAGTCACATACACTTGTATTTGACGCAATACACTGTCCTGCCAATGGTTTTACAGTATTCCACTGATCCACAGGAAGCAGTAACACATCAATGCATGCAGCCATGTGCCAGCAAAGGCAGGGAAGAAGAAGAAGACGACTGCAAGCAAATAAACATGGATGTCAACAATGCTGCATTTGGCTTTACAAACACGCATCTTGGTGAGCAACACTGAATGTAAACATAACGTTTGTTTGTTGACAAGAAAACTCCAAGGAGCACCTTTAAAGAGGTCAGCAGCATTATTAAAAGGAATAGTTTGACTTTCTTCTCAAGAGTAAGATGATGTGTGTATACTTAAAAATTACATAAAGCCTAGAAACACATGTATGGGACTGTTTCTTAGCCAGGTGCAGTGACTTCCTGCAGTCTCGGCTGTTTGCCAGTCTTGTTGCTTCTGTATACATAACATACAAAGACACGTATAGTCTAACAAGCATCTAACCAAACGTTTACCTTTTTCTCATCAATTTTCACCCCTGCTGCAGAGATTCCCTCTAGACACTTGGAGATAATGGGCAGCACCTTCTTCTCAATGTCTGAAAACTGGCAGTAGCCCTCCGCCATTCGCCGAATCCTCCGCTCATCCATGTCCTGCATTTTCTGTCCGACACACAACAACCTGCTTAAATATCATATACTATTCACACTGTCTGTTTATTATTGTATATTCAGTTGCATATGAAAACACTGGAGGAGGGTTGTATTTAGAAAACAATATAAGGGTGTGTTCGGTTTTAAGCAAGTGTGTGGGCTCTGCCCAGTTGTACTGCATTGTGAATGTGTGTGTTTATATGTCTTTGTCTCACATTGAAGATCTGCGGTATCTCTGAGTAGTAGAAGAAGTTTTGTTCCTTGTTGTATTTCTGGAGCTGTGCTGCATAGTCGCTCCTGCACTCCTCCGCTGTGTGTGTGCGGGAATGGGCATGCTGCTTGGCCTTCAGAGTGAAAAGATAGGTGGAACGATGGAAGAGAAAGGGAGGGGAAGATGAAAGGATGCGGGAAGGGGGAGAAATGAAGAGATGCAAAACAAAATGCAAAGTGGGAGAAATGCAGGAACAGATGTAGGGAGGAAGTGGAGGGAGGGATGGGAGACACGAGGAGGCGAAAGCAGCCACAGAGGGAGACAGACAAGGACAGTTCAAGGATTATGACTGAAAATATCTTAAAAACCAAAGGTGAAAAAAAACAGTGCTCAGTTGTTGTTGAAGGTAACGCGTGTGTATTTACTTTCTCGGCATCGAGTCTGGTGGCATTGAGGTCGTTCTCTATTTTCTCTGCTTGTTGTGTGGCTTTTTCAGCCTCCGCCCACTCCTTGGCAAAGCGCTTCTTAGTCTACAAGGCATGCACACACACACACACACACACACACACACACACACACACACACACACACACACACACACACACACACACACACACACACACACACACACTTTAATGAGTAGAGCTTTAGAAGAATTAACTTAATTATCAATTATGTAAGTCACGTAATTCAATCCCACTAGGTACTAAAAATGCAAAGGGACTGTCCACCAAATAATGCACATTACGTTAAAGGGTCAGTTAACACAAATTACAAACAATAGACAGATTTACTCATTTACCTCTGGTGGTATTCGGTAATGCAGATAGATTTAATTTAATTTTAATTTGGCCAGGGTTTGAGATGCGAGACATTTCTTCTGCCAGCCCCAGAAAAATGGAGGTGAATGGAATTAGGTTAGTGGTGTTTAAAGCATTAAAACATTAGAAGCATTTATGATTACAGATTACTAGAAAGTTAATGACTGCATTATTGTCTATTATCCATAGACCTTGCTGTGAACAGTTTATTTACTGTTTACACAGAAAGACAGAAAAGATGTTGCTGTTCAAGTCTTTTCAGTAGCACAAACCAGATTTCATTCCTCTCTTTGGACTGCAGAGGAGACAGAAATGTCAGATATTTCTAAACCTGAGAAAATAAAACTAAAGTGTTAAGACTTGAATTTATGGATCTGCAAATTTCTAATAATCTTCTTCAGTTATAGTTCATTTCACTCTTCACAGAAACAGCTGCTAGAAATGTCCTTCAGAGAAACCAAAAGATTATTACTTTTATAGAGTACATTTCCGAGCCTGTGCTTTTTCCCTTTTACTTGAGCAAAGAAGTTGAACCTGTACTTCTTCTTTTACCGCAGTATGTTTTAACACAAGTATCTGTATGTCTATTTGAGTAAAGAATGTGTACTGGTAGGATTGTATTTCCACTAATAATTAGTACTAAAATAAACAGTTCTTTGTCTGGAAACATTTCAAGAAATTGTTTTTATCTATCTGCATTACGAGATACCCCCTTTTTTTTTAATGAACAAACTTTAAATAACAATCATGTGATCCAAACTGTACAACTGTAAGCAACACGACTTACACTTTCTAGTTGCTTAAAGCTGCTCTCTAAATTCTGCTGGGCCTTCTTGGCATCAGATAGGTGCTGGGGAGAGAAGAGATTTAAGATACCACATCAATCTGCAATCTGCCAGCTACACCTATTGTCCCTTCTCTCTCTCTCTCTCTCTCCCTCCCTCATGTGTTCTCCCTCCATCTCTCACTGTTTTGCGTTCCTGTTTCAGATCCTGAAGGTATTTGGTGAGTTCAACACAAATGGCAGTGATCATGTTTTCGGCGATGAGCTCCCGTTGGCCGGCGTAATCGTTCAGCTCGTTCAGGATCTCCTGAAATGATGCGTGATTGCTGAATCTGCAGCAGGGAAGACAGACAGACAACAACCGTAACTAGGCAGGACAGGCCTGATGAGCTTTAGATTTCTCCATATGATGAAGCGATGTGCATTTGGCTCTAAAAAGTGATAGTGCAGTATGTATCTCAAGAGTTCGGAGGATGGTGTTTATTTGGATTTACATTATTTGGATTTTTCAGGACTTGAACGTCCACTCTTTGGGAGTCAACATGCCACTAAATCAAGTTTAGAATAACTGCCCTGCTCTCATTTTGGTTTGGGGAAGTTTATACACATGAAACTCCAGCCAAACTTGCATAAGATAGTGCTACATTTTCCAAACTTATTATTCATTCCTCATTCTCAAAATGATTTTCTGTTATACACAAAGCACTCACACAACTCACACTGAGTTTTAGCTACAGCTGATAAAACGTACAAGCTTAACTTTTAATTCCAGTTGTCACAATCCAAATTTGTCAGCTAGAAATTGCCTGTGAAATTGAAGACCTATTGTTTCACCGTATACTGTGATTTTGAGTGGTAAATCTTCCACTGTTATCATTCCTACTTTATATGTGCCCTGCAAGAATGGAACGCTTGACAGGCATAGCACCAGTAACTAAAGGAGTTTATTGAACAGTGAAATACAGTGGACAATATTTTGCACATTCTTGCGCAAACTGTTTAAATATTGTACATATTGTATTTTAGGACCTTTATAATATTTTTTCATATTATTGTCAATTTTCTTTTTTTCTATTCATGCTTCTTGACTTGCTTTCATCTTTTCTTGTACTATTTCTATTGTTATGATCCAATATATGAAAAGGTAAATTCCTTTTCCTGTATGTGAAAACCTACTCGGCAATAAACTCGACTCAGATTCTGATTCTGAATTTTATATGCAAAATTAAAGGGGGGCTGGAGGTAAAATAATGGAAACAGGACGTTTTATTGTTCTCTCACCTGCAGTCTTGCTCTTCCTTGCTCCCTCGTTTGGCATATTTCTTTGTTAGATTCCTGTAAGACAGTGGAAAGAGGCAGAGTGTCTTTCTATTACACACACATACATACATACATACATGCACAAGACACAAATACATTTATGTAAATATAAATGAACATTCAGAAACAAGGCTACAAAAACCGAAGGCACACCTGAGTTGCTTGGCGTAGCCCTGCTCTATCTCTGTCCGTTCCTTCACAAACTTTATGTATCGCTCCACCAGGTCGATCCCTGATTGCGTATGCTTGTCGATGTGATCATACTGGTCCTAAGAGAGGAACATAATAGAGCAACACATTTACATACATGTATATGCACACAAACACTGGAGGCATTGCTGCAGAAACAGCAAACCTCTAACACACAGCTGCCACATAACAGTCTAAATGTTTCTAGGTTGCACATTTTTCATGGTTTTGGCTCTGTACTCCGGCACTTTGGATTTTAAATGAAACAATGACGATGTTGAGGGTGGTTACATCAGTGTAGGACTTGAACCCATTTTTGTGCACAGTCCAAATTAAAGACAATGCAACGGTACATTGACCGTACACACACACACACACACACACACACACACACACACACAATGAGACCCACAAGATTTTTAAGGTCAAACTGTGTTACATTCTGGACAGTCTGTCACATGACCTCAGTGTTTCATCTACTGAAGACCAGACTGAAAGCGAAAAGCCTCCGAAACAAGAAGTGAAGCTGGCTGCAGTACAAGTCAGACAGAGAACAATTAAGGAACTATACTGTATGTGGCTTTTTCCACTTTGCTTGAGACGGTGCTGCACTATTACCTCAAGTACAACACTAGCAGTGGCTACTGTATGTGTACTGTTATTGCCAGTAACTTTAAATTTTTATCTTCATATTTAAATATTTATCTGTATTTATTTTGTACTTCTGCTGCTGTAACACCCAAATTATCTTATCTTATCTTATTTTAACATAACAAGTGTCTGCTGATGTCAGCACCTGGTTGATCAATCCATTAGTGGCCGACAGAAAATTATGACTATTCACGCTGTACACCCAGGACTGTATCCCCCGACATGGAAACAACTCTATTTGCAGATGATACCATCATAATCGGCCCGATTTAAAACAAAGATGAGACTTCATATGGGGTGGACGTCAACAATCTTGCAGAGTGGTGCACAGAAAACAACCTCCTGCTGCTCCGCAAAACCAAGGAGCAGCAGGAGGAGGATTGTTGATTTTAGGAAAAAGGAGGAAAAGACACACACCCCTGTTTACATCAGTGGAGCTGAGGTGAACAGTTTTAGATTCCTGGGAATCAACATCACAGAGAACCTAATCTCACACTGGTTAAGAATGCACAGAAACAACTGTATTTGTACATTATGTAGTTTCTGCCACTAAGGGGTCTCTAACATGAAAACAATAACAAAAGACGAAGTTTGATGACAGCATAAAGAATCATAGGATCACAGGAGGTTTCTACCGGGAGCAAAATTATCCGCAGAGGTCTCCTCCTCTCCAACACAAACCGACCCAGTGATTAAAACCGATAAAAACACTGAATAAAGTAGTTTCCCCTTAAAAATCTGTGTTTCTCCAACAGTGTTTGGCAGACAAAGAACATCCTGGAGGGCCTGCGAGCCGAACTGCTGCTAACGTAAACTGAGCTCGTTCCTCTGATAACTTAAGATCCAGATGTCTGATGACTAAAATCCTTCAACTGGTTAAAATATATAGTAAGCAACGACCAAGATCTAAAAACAACCACAACACTGGAACATGCGCAAAGATGATATGACGCCACTGACAGGCGACTGGTGAAACACACCGTTACCTGAATAAAATTATAGATCTCTGAATTTGAACATTCTTAGAAACATTTGGGATAAAACAACTCAACAAAATATATACCGGTAACATAGGCCTATATAGATTTTAATGTGGAAACGTTAGACATTATAACTTCAAGGAAACTTAACAAAGGATAATTCCTGTGCTGACTTCTTGTTAACTTTTACAGAGGAACGACAGAAAGCACCCTGACTGGAAACATCACAACCTGGCATGTGCACAGTCCAGGACGGGAGGACTTTGCAGTGGGTGATTAAAACCACCCAGAAGATCATCATCTACCCAGCACCAGGGATATTGGTGAGGTGCCGGTGCAGAGCCAGAAGGATACCAAAAGACAGCACCCACCCATCCACAGCCTGCTGACATCTGGGAAGAGGTACAGAAGCTTCCGCTGCCGTAACACCAGACTTAAAGACAGTTTCTTCCCTCAGGCTGTGAGAATGTTCAATTTATTCTCAACAAAACACTATTTTTCTGCTTTATGTTACTAAAAAGACTTTTTGTATATATTTTGTTTTATGAGCATAAAGGGAACTACAACCTGAATTTCAATAAACAACCCTGTGTTGTACATGACATTTTAAAAACCTTGTATCCTTGAAATGTATCCTTGTATTTTTCCAAAATGCCAAATATTGTCTAGTTCTACAGCTCCTCAAATGTGCGTATTTGTTGCTTTTCTTTGACTTCTGTGAAACACAACAGAATTTTGGGGGATTTTGACTGTTTGTCACACAAAATAGCATTTTGATGAGATCACCTTGTGTTCGCAGGGAAAGTGTGATGAGCATCTTTCTGATATTTTATTGACCTAAAAATGATATGCAGTGTATTTTTCATTTAACTGTGGTTTTCCAGTCTTTTTCTGCTTATTCTGTACATGTTCTTTATGTTGAAATTCATGTTTTTGTCTAACTTTCTATCTGTAAACTGTATTCAATATCCTGTCGATAAAGATGCATAAATTCTCTCTGCTTCCACCATATCTGATTTTCCTACACTACGGTGTGTGACAGAGAACAACGATGGCTGATAAAATATTTTTTAGAAAATAAACCAGAGATATACTGTAGGGCTGCAAGTAACAAATATTTTCATTACTGATTAATCTGCTCATTATTTTGATATTTAACATTTTTGCTTTAAAGTGACTTAAATGACTAATTCATCATTAAAGCGACTATAATTGTTTTTTATAATAAATTAAATGACAACAAGAAAACAACACTACAATGTAAAAGGGGTCGTTCCTGTGAATCTACAGAGAATTATCAGCTAAATCTGCAGCTTCTCTCTGCTTTATGGAGCTTTTTTTTTTATCAACTTTCAGCTCATTGTTTAGCTTTCCGGGCCACAACTTTACTGTTCTAGTTCCCTCTCACAGCTCTCATAGTTTCATTTTCAGCAGCAGGCGAATGTTTTCAGCAAAAAACGTTTGAATAACCCAGTGTGCACTACCTGCTGAGAACCAAACAACAGACTGGCTGGTTAACATAGTGGAGCATTTAACAGGTAAAGAGCAAGATGTTTCTCTCAGGAGACGGTAGAGACCAAAACTAGAGCTAAAAGGGTGAATATAGGACTTACATACATCTGGTGCACAGAAACATGAATCCAAATGAATGATAATGTTGCTCTTTAAGTGCTGGATGTGTAAATAAGCAAAAGTTTGCCTTATCAAATGAAAAGGTGCTGATACAATATGTCAATGTTGTGTTCACAATTTGTTTCTGCTGTCCATAAGTGATGACTAATTCATTGATAAATCGTTTCAACTCTACTGTGATTAATAATAAATATAAAAAATAATTTGCACTGTGTGAAATTGTGAAAACATGGCGGTTCAACATGGCGGACTCCATGGAAGGCGTAGATAAAAACTCCATCAAATGGCTCCCAGAGCAGAAGTTCACATCATAAAATGTCTTGATTCTTCCAACCAACAAAAACATAAATAGCTGGTGATTCATTTTCTGTTGATGGATCAGAAACAAGAATAACCCTCCACGTCACACACACACACACACACACACACACACACACACACACACACACACACACACACACACACACACAGTTCTCCCTTCTTTCAATTTCTCTTACACACAAAAAATACAAAGGTGTAACAGAGAATAAAAGCAAACTCTCCTTTCAACATTCCTCTCTCTCTCTCTTTACACACATCCTTGCCTTCAACACACACACACACACACACACACACACACACACACACACACACACACAGACACACAGACACACACACACACACACACACACACACACACACTTAAACCTGTTGGACAGGTAACATTTATCCTACTGGTTTGTATCGTAGTGTCAGGACATACAGTTAAGGTCTCACTGAAGACGAACGTCACCACAAAACCAAATGGTATGATTATATGATCACGTTCAGTCTGGACACACAAAGCAACAGGGTGGTTCTGTTGTTGTGTCCCTTGTGAAATACAAAGAAAGACTACACCTTTTGGTTGTTCGTGCATGTGTGTGTGTGTGTGTGTATAAAGGCTGCAGGGTCTTTTGGAGCCAGAGACATAGATATTGAGTCCTCAGAGGAGGGGGGAGCTAAATGGAGATCATACAGTAACACAGTTAGCAATGTCCTGGATACGAGAGAACTGGGAGGAGGCAGGGAAGGAAGAAGGAACAGGATTAGAAAATATAAGAGGAAGATGAAGTGAAATACACATTTGGCCAGTTAAAACCTGCAACAGGAAGGAGAGTGGAACGAGGCAAACAGATGTTGATGGGGATATTAAAGAGCTTATGAAGCACCTTTAAGATATATTACTGCATGCATTTACCACTCCTGTTGCTACGCCCCATTGCTTTACTGTAGTGCATTTGCATGTTTGTGTGAGAGGAGGAAATACTGATAGCGACACAGAAAGGGTTCAGGAATGAGATAATCATTAGCTCAGTGTGAACCTCCGCCCTGTGACTGACGGTCCCAGGGGCTTCTCCAAACCCTGGAACCAGTCGGACTAGTCCCACCCCTCACTGTGACGAAACACAGAAGCGTGTTTCCTGATCCAGGCTGATCTGAGAGCAGTTACACCTCAATCATAATGAAAGCTACAAAACAGGAATGAGTTACACCATCTATCCATACATCAGTCTTTAAGTTTGTGTAAAGCTCTTAGTAACTACTAGACTGTTTCAGCCATCAAAATGAAATCTGTAGTGTCTCAGCTAGTAAAGACTTTATTGGTTGCTAGGAAACGTGTAGAAAGTAATCAGCTGTGCAAACAGGAAGTTACTGTAGCATCACAATCTCAACCATAACTTTTTTTAACAGTTTTAGTGAGGAAGTGAATATTAGCCACCAACCCTTTGAAAATGTAGGTATCATTTTGTTTTATTTATATGCATTATAGAGAAATATAGTCTAACAAATGTGTTCATCATTTAGCAAAATGTCACTGATGTTTTGTGATTTGGGGTATAGTGTGTTATTGTTTATGAAATATAATTTAATATCTTCCCAGTTTACCTCAATATTAAACAGCATCTACCTATTCACCCATTACGTATTAGCACGCTAACGTTAGCTCTGTAAAGTTCTTAGTGACTACTGGCTAGTTGTCAAAAAGATTTAATAAATCTGGGTTTGCGGCATTAAAACTTACGAAATGGTTAGAAAAGAAACATACAATTAAGCAACTATTTTAATAATCTATCGAGCACAAATGCCAAACATTGACTGCTTCGTTCCAGCCTCTCAAATGTGAGAATTTCCTGCTTTTTGTCCAAAATGACAGTAAACTAATTATCTTCAGTTTTTGGATTGTTGATGAGACAAAACAAGCGTTACTAAGATGCCACCATTTCCTTGCATTCGCCACAGAGGGACCAAACAATTATGGAATGTTTTTATTAGTGTATAATGACCTGAATATAGGAATTGTTGTGTTTTTGTTACCTTAGAATAAGCCGTTTCTATCTATAGAGCCCATACACAGGTCACTTTTCAAGGAGTCCACAATGTTAAATCACCATGTTTCTGCAGTAGCCCGAATGGACAAACCAAACACTGGCTCTAGGGACTTTCGCTTTCTTTGTGAGTTTCACAGCCACTTTTAGTTTCTCCTACACACTTCACAGCCTGTTCTCATTCCCGGGTCATCAAATACAGGCGCGAGGGGTGTTCAGTCAGTTACAATCTGAAACTTCACCATTGGATGCCGCTAAATCCCACACACTGGTCCTTTAATCACAAAATAAATCAGGAAATGAATTCCTCATGAATTCAAAGTTTGCACTAGTTATGTTTGATGTAATGGAATAATCAAGCGATAGTTTCAGCTCTAGATACGATATGTTTTGGTTTTCCCACAATTAAGTCTGATTAAGCCACTTGTTTATCAGATCCCATCAAACCCACCCAAGCAGCAGCTGTTGAAGGATTTTGAATTTCAACTCTTTCTCAACAACAGCAGCATTAAACACAACAGCCTCACCCAGTCTGGGTTTAACAGTGGAATAATCTCAGAGGTATGTACTCAGACTTTGACCACAATCACAGCAGGATTTTCGGGAAATAAATCAGGTTTGCTATTCATCACGATCCATTAAACCAAAAATCATAAACAGTTCACGTCTGGATATTTAGTTTGAGCTAAAACACACACTGTACACACGGCATGCAAATCATCTTCCAAATCAGTCTGCGATAAAGTGGAGGTCTGAAATGATTGGCCTGTTAGTGACTAGTCGATTGTCAGAAGATTCACCGTTTTGACAATTGATTAAGAGTTTGTGGGGCAAAAAGGCCAAACTTTCTCTTATTTCAGCTTCTCAAATGTGAGGATTTCCTGCCTTTCTGTGTTGTGTGAGGTAGTAAACAGGATGTCATTGGGTTTTGGACTGCTGCTCGGACAAAAACAAGGAATGTGAAGACCTCATTTTTACTGATTTCTTACATTTTGTAGATTTTTGACAAAACAATTGATCAGTAAACTAATCAAAATAAATAATAATTGTTACTGGCGGACCTGGATCAGTTGCCACTCAAGTTCAGTCCCTTTACTTTAATACTCACTGACTCCACAGAGGGCACTGGTGTTGTGTGTGCGTGTGTGTGTGTGTGTGTGTGTGTGTAATGACTAATGGAGGTTGTCTGACCTGATGTCAGTCACTGTGATTCACAGCTGAGACACTGACCAGATGAAGTCATCAGTTAACAGAAATGAGCCATGATTTGGTGGACAGTCTGCCAGAAAACCTCAACGCTTCCTGAAGTGTTGTCACAAAGCAAAAAGCTTCAGGTTCAAGCATGAGAAGAAAAAGGTGGTGGAGTACACCTTTAGCTCACGGTAGATAAGGTCGCCAGAAAGAGTAATAAACCTCTTCCCCCTCTGCTTAAGATAAGGTATGCAGCTGGGGTTGCGAAATCCTCTGGCTGCACACTTTACAGAAAGACTCCTGCTGTTGTTTCAAGATTACTTAACCCAGGGCCTACCGTGGAAGGAAAACAAAAAGTCCCCTGTACATATTGTGTCGACGAAAACAATAAGCAGGACAGCCTACTCTTAAGGGATGTTATTTGGTAATGACTTCTCCTTAGAGGACTCCTCTTCTTCAGTGTCAGCTGTCAAACTTACCCAAAGATCCGTTCCCCAGTCCATGTCTGCAAAAAAGTTCAGATGGAGGAATCCTCTCGGTTGTTCTATGGCAAAGAAAGAAACAACCAGGTGGTGGTGGTGGTGGTGGTGGAGGAAGAGGAGGAATAGAAGATATAAAAACTCCTCTCGTTACAAAGATTCCACAAAACTTTGAGTCTCGAAAGTGGAGATGGCGGAGGAAATGTTTGGAGGAAGTCTACGCCTTCTCCCTGGCACGGACGCGGCTGTCTTGTTTCTTCCAGCCAGCGAGAGAAAAAAATATGTTCAGGCGCTTTTTCCTGAAACAAGTTTGGGTCCCAAAGAGAGAGAGAGAGAGAGAGAGAGAGAGAGAGAGAGAGAGAGAGAGAGAGGGAGGGGGGGGGACCGGGTGGGAAAACCTACCAGCGGCGTCTCTGTTTGTTTTATCTTAAAGAAGCAGCTGGAGGTTATTTTCCTCATAAACGCTCCTGAAAGCCGGAACCTTTAAGTAAACACATACAGTATTATTGTCTGGCATCACAACACTTCAGTTATAACGCTACACCTGAGGGAAAATAAACCGAAATAAATCATTAACTATACTGGACAAGTGTTGAATAAATCACCCATTTATTCCAGTTTTCAAGGACTGTGGTGGTTTTATTCATTCATGTTCAGTTACAGTACATTTACTCAAATACTCTTACAGGTGGTACAATTAGTAGTTTGGATCAATTTACTTTTACTCCACTTGACAATAGAAAACAAATTAAACTTCCTTTTTTTCTAAAATTTGCAATGTCACATTTTCTTCTTCCACATTTACATCTTTAATACATTTTAAACATTAAGCAATAAAATACCAGATTTACTAATAACTACTACTGCTGCTGCTACCAGTAATAATAAAGTTTATTTATATAAGATTTACCAAAACTAGAGTCTACCAAGCACTTTCCAAAAAATAATAAAATAAGAGACTAAACTAAATCTATTGGACATTAAGACGTGGCAATGTTGTCCCATTGGTCCTGGACAACAACTATTTGATGGATTGCCTTAAAATGTGTCAGATATTTATGGTCTCCAAAGGATGATTCTTAATTACTTGGAATTTTGTGAATCATGTCCATGTGATTCAAAAAAGCACTTTTTTATTCCAATTTATTGCACACCCATAGTTATTTAGCAACATTCACATTGAGGTTTTATAAAAAAAGCACATCTATCTATCTTATAAAATATGAGGCAGTGCAACTTCCCAAAATTATATAAAACAGTTAAAATGATCTCCACTTCCACTTCCACTTTCCACTTTCAATAATGCATAAATAATAATGTAACACTGCCAGTGGACATTCTGCATAATGACTAATTTCATGTTTGCTACCTTATATATATTTTGTTAAAAATACCTCGGTTCTGAATAGCTTTGACAAGTAAATAACCTGAATACTTCTTTCGCCACAGCTGATCCCTGGCCTGTTTGTACCTGTCCTGTATTAACATTACACATAGTCACAGAGCAGCAGACTTTCTTTTCCAGAAAACAAATTCCTGGTGACCTTTAAGAAACCCAGAAAATAATTCCACAACAGACAACTGTCTTTTTGTAAAAGCTCAAGTGAAATATGATATCACAGCTTTTTGTTCGTTGTTATGTTGTTGTTGTTTTTTTTACTGCTGTCACATGCTAATGGTTTCAAACACTGGGAATACTTTAGTAAGTAATATATCCAGGTCAGATCCAGTAGTATGTCCTCTTCTTTATCCAGTAACACTCCATGTTAGCCTACCTGTTGAGACCACACCTGTCTGTCAATACGAGGGCGACACCTTGTGTTTAGTTTACATGCACCCTGTCTGTTCTTATTAAAGTTTTAATGTCAAAGAGCATTTAGCCTGTGAACTTCCTCCTTTGATGATTTCTGAAGCACAAGAGCACAGAAGTATGTCACAAAAAAGTTTATCCTAATAAAAGGCTTTTTTTTTTTTTTTTCATCTCCAGGCGCCACCAGCAGGTCAAAGTTTTAACTTATCCTCTTAAATACTTCAATATTAGTATGATGGATCAGCACCGACTGTGTGCAGGCAATCTAAGTGCCCCAAATGTTGAATCCTTTGGTGATTCTTTTTCATTTAGCGCCACTAGGTCAGTTTATTAAATGTGTTCAATACTTAACACTTCTTAAAAACTAATGACACCACCATCAGCCTCAGCTGTACTGCAGTGCTGATGAGCAACCATACTAACGCTAAACTAAGATTGTGAACAAAGTAAACATATGTTGTAAACACTTTGTAAATAACTGCTAAATATCAGCATGTTGGAATTGTCAATGTGAGAGCATGTTAGTGAGCTGACATTAGCATTTAGCAATGCTATGCACATCCTCACAGAGCAATCAGCATTGGTTGTAGACTATTATCTTGTGGTTCTAGAAAACCCTACTACATTCTGTACCACACTAGGCTTACTATATATGATAATAATAACAACAGCAACAAAAATGCAGTATAAAGTTTATTTATATAAGACCTATCAAAACTAACGACCCCAAAATATTTTACAAAATTCAACATAACAAAAGAAGAGACTGAATAAACAGGAAAGTAGAGTATAGGGAGCAAATGCATTCAGCCTGTTGAACTCAAATATTCTGACTGATTTGCCTTTTTGAAAGAATAAATGAATAACTGACATTTCATATTTTTCTATACATATTGTAGGAACAACACAGGTGCTGGAGGTGCGGCTCCCCAACTCTCCCCACTTGATGGAGGGTGATGTATTACCATAATCTATTTAAGCTACAGCTAATCAGCTAATCAGTTAATCAGGTTAATGTGTGCATGAACACGTAGCAACTGATCTGATCTTCATGGCGATAGTCTTAAGGGAGTAGTTCCAGCCCTTCCATGCATTCCAAATGACATGGACGTTCTCAAATCCGATGGCACCATGAGGCGCGTACATCCCGTTGGGGTTAGCCTCGTGGCAGGCGTTGTACCAGAATCCACCTAGAAAATGCTGAGCACAGTTTTTATCCCACTGGTCCTGGTCTTTGTCAAAGGTGGTGAACTTCATGTTGTTGTTATTTACTAAACTGTCACCTAGAAATAAATATAAAAACAATGTTAGCTGAGTTGAATAGTTGAAACTCTAAAAAGTGCTCCTGCTGTATTACCATTTTGCCGGCGGAGGATTTAAGTTACGTTTATTTGTTTGGATAAGAATCTGAATGTTCACTTAAGCACAGCACGTGTGATTAAAACAGAGGATCCGTAACACTATGGAGGGAGATGGTTAAGGATCTTTACTACATGGAAAACATAACAAGGTTAAAATTACAAATATTATAAATATTTCTTCAACTAATTTGAGCTTGAGACAGTTAAACAATTCACCTGGATTTCTTTTGTTATCATTTAAATATAAATACTGTATAATGGTCTTTTTTTATTTCTTTATTTTTTTATACAATGTATATTTAAACATTTTCTCTGAGTCCATGGATGAAACTCATTATTTATCCCTGTTCATGGGAACTATGTGTGGACATTGAGAGGTGCCAAAACCCACAGACTGCACCTTAAAGACATATGCCTGTGCTGTGTTTTCCGAACATGAGCATGCACTGTGCAATTTTACTTGTTGAAAGGAAATAGAAAGTTGAATAGAGGATCCAATCTGTTAAGTGTAATGAAAGCAGATTAAAGAAGATAAAAGTAATTTGCTGTGAATATTTTAACATTTTCAGGGGGGAAAAACATCAGGTAACAAGAACATAGAGGGCAGGTGCATGCAACCATTTCCTTCTGATTAATAAAAGAGTGAGAAAATTTTGTTGGAACAACACAGGTGTGCATGATGTGAAGCATGGTGGGAAGACATGATGTGCAGACTCACATGACTGTGGAAATATCAACACTTTTAGGGCCAGTGGTGGTGAAGGTCAGAAAAGGGGTGAGTATTTTTTAGAATATTTTACACCCCTTTGTACCCATGTAATTTTGGTACAGTCCCTTACCAGCTGAACACTCTCTTACCTTCGCAGACTGGATTATCTACTTTCTAAATCATAAAGGTAAACAAGGCATCTCCAAATAAAGGGGCTAAAATGAAGCTAGTATTTTGGAAAACACTTCTTTCTTTTTTTTACTGAAAGAGCATTATTGTTTCATTTTTCATTCATCTGACAACAGTTCAATTTGTCTCTGGAGAACCACATTTTCACTGGAATCACAAAAATCAATCCAAGCTGTCATTATTGTTTTCTAGCCTGTTAGTCCAGTATTACATTCAGCTCTGTAAGGATACAACAAAAACTTAACTTGGAAAATAAATTATTTAAAGACACTGTTTTTTTGCCCCTGGCCCATTTATTTATTTTTTCTAATTTCTTAATCCTAAAAAAAGCCCCAAAAATGATAAAGGAACCCTTTTTCATTCATTATTACTTACAGTACATCCATCCATTTGTCTTGACATTCAAACTTCCCAAAGTAAGATCCACTCAGTGATTCTCACCTGCTGATCCGCCAGTGAAACTGCCCACATGAAGCTGATACCCAGCGTTCTCAGTATCGATTGAGAAGGAGGAATATTGGGCGAATACCTTCCCTCCCTCCCAGTCCTCCATGTCAACCCGCAACTCATTCTTCTTCCTCATACTCAGCAGGAGGATGTTTTCCAGGCCTGAAAAATGTGCACAATGATCTGGTTCGTTTCACCTTCTGCTCCAATTCCTCTTATCATTTACATGTTTTAACCTCTTTTCCTCTCAGTCTCTCAACCTTCACTTAGTTTAAAATCACACCTTATATTTCTTCTCGCCTCAGCAAATTAAGATGCAAAGCAGCACAGTTTTTAATGTATTTTTCCCTTGAAAACTCACCAAGCCAATATTCTCCGGCCACCTTCCCAAATCCAGTTTTATAGTGACTCCAGGGCCTGAAGAAGCTTTCAGTCCCATCGAGCCTCCTCTGAAATACCTGAGAGGGAGAATCGGAGGAAGAGAGAGAGGTTAAACATTTACTTATTTATGTATTATCAATTTAAAGCCCCAACAAGGAATTTTCATTTTGTGTTGATTCTGGAGCCCCCTGTGGACAAAGTTGGAAATATTTTCACTGCCTCATTTCATTGATTTCAAGGGGAATAACTTTATAAATTTTTGAATCAACCAGGTGCTACTTTGAGGCACACAGTCTGATGTATGTTCATGTTTAAGATGATAAAATCTGATAAATACGAGGTGTACTGACAGTCCATCTGCCTCCGTCAGTGTCCATGTCACAGTAGACCTGCAGGGGTGTGGTGGGACCTCCAGGATAGATGATGTACACCCCACTGGAGGTGGTGTTGTCATGGCGATAGATGTCATCACAGTCGATGGGCAGATAAAACTGGGGGTCGCAGTGAACTGCGGCTGTAAGAACCAGCAGAGCTAAAAATAATGTTGCCTGGATGTGAAAGGAAAGAGATTACAGTGATTACCTGCACTTTTAGATGGATATCTCCACTCATTTACTTTTTGCTGCGTTTAACGTATTACAGCTGTGCTGTGTTTATTATTAATCTGAACTATAATGTACCTGTACATCTATTTCCTGTACTGTTGCTGTTTGTTCACAGAGTTCACAGGTCTGAAGTCTGCAAATGTGTCCTACTGGTACTGAGAAAGCCCTGTTAATATGTAACTGAGGAAGAAAGTTCACATTTTACATAACCTAAGGACAGGGACGCCCGGGTTCGAATCCGACCTGCTGCCCTCTGCTGCGTGTCATCCCCTCTCTCTACCAAACTATCCTGTTGATCTTTAGCTGTCCTATCCAATAAAGGCATGAACAGGCCAAAAAAAAAACTTTAAAAAAAGAAAAGAAAAAGACAAAGAAAATGGCAGCAGCGATGTTTGTCATGTAATAAAATAATTGGGGTTAAATATAAGAGCTTGCATTGAGTCTGTTTGAGCTCTTACCTGCATCTTCATCATGGAGAGGAGGGTTCACAGCCGAGTTGTACTCTCTCAGGTCAGTCTGTTGAAAACAATCTTGGTGGGAGACCCTTTTAAACAGTCCGCATGGGGCGTGTTTGTGGAAGCATGTGACACTGACAAAGTTTGCTCACACAGATCTACAACGTTATAAGAAAGAAAGAAAGAAAGAAAGAAAGAAAGAAAGATTTAGAACTATATTCCTGGCAGTATAGCAAAGGTGATAAAACCTGATTAAACATTTAAATAACACTAACAATATAATCAGAATATTTTAAAAACATTAAACATTTAAAAATGCACTGGTGGAATTTGTACGCATGACCTCAGTATTTATAGTCCATGACTAACATTCAGAGAGTATTCCTTATCTAGTTACTCATTAAACATTTTACTCATTTTACAGCGGAATTTAAAAGCAAAACAAGAATAAAATGCAATATTTTACAAAGATCTGCTGCAGAGTCTAAACAAACACAATCACAAACAGGTAACTTCTAGTAAGCACAAAATTGAGGAAATTCCTATTTTATTTTAAAGCTCCATACTAGATCCTGTAGATCCTGTCCTGTGTGGAAAGCCCATAATGACACCATAACTGACTGAAGTTGTGAACCCAAAAATCATCAAGCAAAAGTCATAGGAATAATAGTGTTGTGTGTAATAGTGTGATAAAATGGTATCTCAATATCTGTGTGTGCATGTCTGAGCATGTATGTGGTTTTTTTAATCTTTGTTCTTCTTTAGTGATACTGATCAAATTATTTCAACCACGTCATTTTTTTTTACACTGGCAAATACAGGTAAACATTGCAGATATCTCCTCTTTTCTACTTTACACTTCTTAGGGTAGGGTAATAGTTCTCGACCAAGCTTCAATATGTCCTCTTTAAGTCTTAGGGAAGTTATTGATACTCTTCTTTCTCAGTTGGTGACCAAACAGATGTTAATATTTATCAACTTATAACCTTATAAAAAAAATCTTGGAATAATTATTGATGAATAATTTTAAATAAATGGTAAATAAATCCTATCTCTCTTTGTTTCCTGTGAGTCTGGATTAGTCTCTGCATGGTATCTTTTCTGTAACCTCCCTGGTTTTGAATGACTCTGCACTAGCCTTAGATTGCAAAATGTACCTCAAACTATAAAGTGTAAAAACTGTGTAAAAAAGGTATTCTGCATGGTTCAGTCTTAGATCCAATAATGTTCTTAGTTTTATATTGCATGTGCATAGAGAGAGTGCCTAAGTATAAATGCCTCAATATCTGGCTGGACAATAATCTTTGAGCATCATATTAACACACATATTACTAATTAGAGAACAATATTTGTTTTTTTGTACAGAAATTAGAATTGCTTCCTTATTTACCAGAGAAAACAAATTGTTGAATCAGTTATTTACATCTGCATTGGATTATGGGGATGTTGAAACTGCAGCCTCCACATTGCAGTGAACGAGGAGATGTAGAAGTAACCTCATCGGCCAACCACTCAACAAACAACACGGAAGTTGATGGTTTGACTAACTGTGATCAGGTCGACACTTCAGCCAATAGTCTACAGTCTGGTGTTTCTGATGAGTTTCAAAAATGGCACAACCTTTTAACAGGTTATGAGTTAGGAAACTCTTGCCTTCAGAAATAGTACTATGGGTGTTTTTTGGTTGGGCACATACAGGTTAGAGGTGAAAGCTAAATGTATATTTTTTCTAATTTAATTATGTAAAAGATCTATGCTATTAAATGACAATTACTTTAATAAATTTGATTCAGAGCAATTATATAATTAAATAAAATGTAATATCTTGTGTCCATCAGGTCAAATCCTTTGTTCAGCTCAAACTTATGACTGTAAATGTTGTAAATTGTAGAAGCTCCTTCTTCACTTGGTTTTCTCTGCAGGTGGGTCTCCTCCTCAACGGCTTCATCATGAAGTTTTTCTTCTGCCGAGTTCACCAGCAGACATCCAGCAGCATTGTTGTCTACCTGAAGAACCTGGCAGCAGCTGACTTCCTGGCTCCGCCCTCTTCTACCTCAATGTATGCCAGCTCATGTGCTACATTGCTGCAGGTAGGCCAGGGTGGCAATGTGGCATTGTAGCAAAGGGCTGCAGGTTGGATTCAAACCCTCGGCTGCTGCAGCAAGGACTTAGCCTTGGTACATGGGTTGCCAGTTCTATGAGGTGAGCTATCATCCTTGTAATACAAAATTGTAACAAAAACTGATCTTGTAATCACAATGTAATAACTGAAAATAATACCTGCAATAATACAAAATTGTGATATAATAACTGGTTGTAGCATAAGATAACAACTCAACTTCATGGTGGTGCTAGAGGAAGTCATAGGAAATAAACTGCATCGAGTGCTGCTTGGGTGTCAAGAAAAGAAGGGGGGTGTCCCTCTGGTGCTCTTCAGATAGGGGATCCCACTAGTTTAGAACTGTAAAAAACAGTATTTAAGTTACTCATACTCATAACAGTTAAAAAACATTCCTATGCATTTCAGCCATTCAGGCCTTTATCAGGGCAAATTCAAAATGGTTGCCTTTGGCCTGTTTCTTATATCTGTTGGCAAGTAGTCACATGATCAGTATGGACAGGTAAAGTCACATGACAGACCTTGTTCAGCAGAGGAAACCACCCATTAAAAAATGGACAGCAACAGATAAATAGAGAACTATATACTCAACGTCTTTCACTATATCAAGGCAAGATTGCACATGGTGTTTTCAAAGGACTCAGTGGCCTAGAACACAGCCAACATCTTACAACACAGGGGTTATACATTTGTTGAGCTCAGGAGCCGGAGGAGGGCTTTCTGGGCACCTGCCCCCATGCCCTCTGAGCACAGTGGTGGGCCTCTTGGGCCTGCTGGAACTTTGTATTTGCGCCTATCCCCACGTGCATCCTGACAGAGGGAGGCAATGACTCGTCCCCTAGGTCGATTGTGGTAAACCAGTCACTTTAAAAGATGGCTTGTCAAACCCTCAACACATCTTGCAACACAGGGGATGAAAATGAAGTGTACACATTAGCTGTAAATCATGTAGCACCAACCTGTGGGTTTGTGTCAACTCAGCCTCTGACTGAACTCTGAGAGAAACTTTTTCTCTTTTTTGTTCTTTGTTCCAGTTCCTATTCTTATATATACATGTTTATGAAGCAGATTCATAAAGGACCAGGACAAGCATAAAGTTTTAATTTTCAACTCACAGGAATTTGTCAGTTAGCAAAATTAGTTAGCAATAGTGTTGTTGTTGTAGTATTGTGGACTGACGACTGACCATTAGCCTACAGCATGGCTAAAAGTGTCTTCAGCTGCATCTGTGGGCCTGTTCATCGGAACTAGACAGGAAGATATAGTAGTGTGTATCTGTGTGTGTGTGAGTGTGACAAGTAGGTGGTTTTTCTTGGTATATTTCTTGATGCACTTAAGCAACTGAAGCCATGAATACCACATAATTCTGTTTCTGCTGATGTTCTTCCTCTGTTAAAACTGTGAGGGAGGAAGTACAGTGAACAGTCTTTCTATCAGACATCCTCACTGACAGGCACAGACAGGTAAACGCTGCAGATATTTCATCCTCTCTTCTTTGCACTTCTGATTTTATGCCGACATTTAAATGTTAGACATTTTTATATCTAAAAATCACCAGTCATTATCACTATCATATATATCAGTTCAGCTGACCATTGAGTAGAATGATTGAGAGTCGACGGTGCATTAAGGATACAAATTTGACCAGTTATTTTCTACATTGATTTAAATATGTGAGGATATTTGGTTTGAAACCATCCACTGGTTTATGTTATTGATATATCTTAATGTTTTGGTCAGGTTTAGAATAATTCAGCCAACTCAAGTGTGAGCCTATTGTGACATCACCTACTGGTTTGTGAAGTACAGTTTCGTAGTCTTGAGTTTGGCATTATGTTCATCGCCATGACAGTTTGTCTGCGAGTTGACACTAAAAAAATTTTCTGAAACAATTTTAAGTGAGAAATAGACAACACAGTCACAGAATCTTGATTCATATTTGATCTGCCTAGTTTTAAAATTAGATCTGAGTTTTGTGCGGTGCGATGGACGAACTCACTGACAATGATTTGTTAATCAAAAGGTAGCCACACCCTAAATCATACCCTGCTTATCGACTATTTTACTCTAAATTGGACCATTATTTAGTAAATGAACATCATAATGTATGTGGGAGAAGACCAGTCAAGCACACTGATGGCGTAGGGCCTATTGCATGGCGAGGTCTGCTGACGCACTAAGGTATATCCCCGTTGTGGAATCTGGCGTTGTTGGTGTGAAGCAGCAGGATATGCTCAGTCTGCCAGGTGTGATCAGAGGTCACCATACGGGCCTATCGCGTGTCTGTGCCCACGTCTGGGTGTAATCCAGCTTTGTTAAGTGTGAAACCACGGCGCATCCCTTCACATCTTCCTTCAATAATTCAATTTGGGTCAAGTAGAAATAAGGAAGAAAAGAGGAGGAGCCACGAGCTGTTTTATCATCTGTACTATGTAGGTTAGATACAACGCAGCAGGCGGCAATAGCTTGCAAGGCAACAGCTGCATTGACAAAGCAGAGGGAGAGCTGGGAAATTTTGCAGCTTAAATAGACCACCAGATTGGAAGGGTGCGCTTGGTTAGTGATTATGGAATAAGGCATGTCATGTGTGTATAGCAGCGCAGCTCGAGCTGACTGCCTGAACTAGCTTGCAGGCTTCGCTCCATTTATGCACTGAAGTTGTGCCCCTCAACATGCACGAAACCCTGTTACCAAACCCATTTAACTTAGCACAGGAAGATAAAAAACCGTCACATCACACAGAGGAAATAAACATCATTACACTATTTCCTAACACCATGGGTAGACCAAAGATAAGTCCTCTTTTTACATATTTTTTCATCTTTGCTTGGTTCTGTCACTCTAATCAATGCAAGTTATTCATATTATCAGAATAAGACAAATATTGAATTTAACATCCCCCTTGATCGTGACATAATCCCAACTTGACAAAATATGTCAGAGCTATTTCTTACATTTTATGTATTTGTAGTTACCTACTATCTACCAAACAATATCCAGTTTTCAGCAGGCTAATGAAACAGTATTGTAGCAATCAATATGATCCTTTTGCACCTTTTGATCTTTCATTGAAAAGAACAGTATTCATTTGCCACATTTATGTAATGATCTGCAATCAAAAGTAATCCATTCTACCCTGTTACTCTAATTTCAACTCTGTTATCATATAATTTTATTAAAATAATTAATTTAAAAGTTTTACCTAGTGTCCTTTTATTAGTTTGAATGATTATAACATCATTTATTTGATGTGTGACTATTTAAAAGTTGGGCAAGATAGATTTCAAAAGTTGCTTTAATTAATATAAGTGACGTCTTATGTGAAACTAAATTAGCATTCAAAGTCAGTGTGACTTTTTTACTTTATTAAAAAACATATTTTGAGATATACTTTTTCAGGTTCCTGAATATTGGTATTGGGATTAAGGATAGCACACAACAAACATTTGAGTTCTCCATTCTCTTATTCACCATGTATTGGTTGGATGCAATATTTGTTACAAATTGGCCACTAGTTGTCGCTTTAGTTGCAAAATCATAAAATATGATTAGTTATTATTCATCTATAAAGTTTTAATAAAGATGCTTCCATGCTATATTTCTTCCATTTTATCACAAAACTCATCTTGGTAGTTGCTCATGAAATAGCTTTTTGCTCCATATTCCATTAATCAGACATGAATTAGTAAAAATGTTATTGTCTTTCATTGCACCCTATACTTGGAATAATCTGCAAAAGGCCTTAAATTTGGACTGTCTGCTGCCACTATGGCTGTTCAAAGGCCTTATTTTAGATCCCATTTCTTAGTTTTTTGTAAATGTTTTTAACTACACTATAACTGTATCTGTTTATTACTCTTGTGTTTTTTTTCTTTTATTCTATTTTATACTTCATTGTATTTATTCCTTCTATATTATTATTTACTCCATTGCAGTTAATTATCCTGAATTTAACTTTATATATCATACATTGTTGTTTTTATTGTCAGCTGTTTTGTCTGTTGCCCCTTGTGTTTTATCTTGACCCCATTGTAAATTCTCTTCTGTGGTCTTTTAAGGTAAAATAAAGATTGTGTAGATCAACTGGAAAAATGAGTGAACGAGGAGAAGTAGAAGTCACCTCTTCCGTCAACCAGTCCTCAGTTACAAACCATACTGAAGTTGACGGTTTGACTAACTGTGATCAGGTCAGCACTTCAGCCAACCCCTTCTTCATAATAGTCTTCAGTCTGGTGTTTCTGGTGAGTTTCAAAAGCAGCACAACCTTAGAAGACTCAGAGGCTCAATGTATATTCACCCTTTTCTAATTGACTGTAAAAGATCTATCCTATTAAATGACAATTACTTTAATACATTTGATTCAGAGCAATTCAATATTTAAATTAAATGTAATATCTTGTGTCCATCAGGTCAAATCCTTTCTTAAGCTGTAAATGTTGTAAATTGTTTTAAGGCTGACTTCACCTGCTTTTCTCTGCAGGTGGGTCTCCTCCTCAACGGCTTCATCATGAAGTTTTACTTCTGCCGAGGTCACCGGCAGACGTCCAGCAGCATTGTTGTCTACCTGAAGAACCTGGCAGCAGCTGACTTCCTGCTCTGTCTCTGTCTCCCCATCCGCATCGCCAACTATGCCAGCAACACAGTCGCTGTCCGCCTGGTCCAATGCAACTTTGGCTCCGCCCTCTTCTTCCTCAACATGTACGCCAGCATCATGTTCATGTGCTACATTGCTGCTAACAGGTAGGCCAGGGTGGCAATATGGCATTGTGGGTATACAGAGTGGCCTGTCATTGGCTGTGATCTTCTTGAGTTCCCATTGAACTTTGAAGTTGGTAGATCTTGTGGCACAAAAATAGACTTATAACTGACTTCACAATTTTATCAGTGCAAACAAAAATGCATCAGTTTCATGGTTTCTAGTTTTATCAACACACAGGAAACACAATTGGACACAAAGTAGTGTTCCTCAGACCAGGAATGCTCTCATGAGTACTACTTCAATGCCAAGCATATCATGTACTCAAATTATTGAGTTTTGTATTGACAGCAGCCTCTCCTCTCTCCAGGTATCTGAAAATTGTCCGAGGAACTTCAGGAACTCACATCCTGCAGACGGTGTGGGCTGCCCACATTGTCTGCACTGTAACCTGGGTTTTACTTCTGGCCATGAGTAGCACCTTCATCATCCTGTCGTTCCACACCCAGAAACCTTTGACCTCTGTCCCAGTGAACTGTGAAATCTTACGCAGTGGCCAGCTCATCTCTTTCCATAAAGTCATGCACGCCTGCGCCATCTCCATGTTCATCTTTTTCCTTGTCTCCCTGGTCTTCTTCTACTATAGTACCTCCCGCAGGGTATTGCTGGCACAGAGAAGCCAGCCGGCGTCCTCCAGCTCCAAGAAGCTTGTAAAGTCACACAGGAAGATGTTAGTGCTGGTCTGTGTCTTCTGCTTTTGCTTCGTCCCCTACCACCTGGTTCGCCTTCCCAAAGCTTTCCTGTGGAGATATTGTTCATGGCGCAAGGTTTTACACTACCTGATGGAGGTGAGCATCATAATGTCAGTTCTCAACGTCTGTCTGGATCCGCTCCTTTACTTCATCTTCTGCAAGGCGTTCAGGACCCAGCTTAGCCAGAGACTGGGGTCTAGAAAATGATAATGCAGTGTTAGCTGCCAGTAATGTCATACATTACACGTTGTTTTTTTGGGGGGGTTTATATATTGTGGGGGCTAATATTGCTATTCATAGCTGAAGGGTGACGGGAGAGCGGGGATGACACGCAGCAAAGGGCGTCCTTGTAATACAAAATTGTAACAAAAACTGATCTTGTAATCACAATGTAATAACTGTAAATAATACCTGCAATGATACCAAATTGTGACATAATAACTGGTTGTAGCATAAGATAACAAGCCTGGCTGTCAACTTCATGGTAGTGCTAGAGGAAGTCAGAGGATTCATTGTCTGAAAACCAGGAATGTCTGTTCAAAATGTTGTGCTGATCCATCAAGTATGTTGAGATTGGCATTACAGGAAAAAGTCAGGTGATCACCAAAGTCAACAAGTCTGGAACAAAAGTGATGTACCACACGAACAATTTAGCTATCCCAACAATAACTATTATCTTAACGTACAGTGTGTCAGTGTTTTTCTGAATGTAGCTGATTTCAATTTGAAGTTCTGTCCTTGAATACATGTCACATTTTTTTGAAGTTATCTGTTGATGCTTGTGTAGCTGGCAATAATGGTCCATCTTTCTTACATTCTCATATCTTTCTCTGTCTTTCATTTAATCTTAATCTCTGTGTCATACTAGTGGTGAATACATTTCTATCTTCAGTCACAAAATAAATTGTATGGAGTGCTGCTTGGGTGTGAAAAAAAACACAAAGCCCTCCTCTGGCTCCTGACCTCTCCCTTGGAGGGAGGAGCTAAACAAATTTATAGATGTTGGCTGTGCTGAGGTTTTCAAAGCAACTGCTTTGCCACAATCAACCTAGAGGATGCATATTTTCAGCTACCTCAGAAGCAGAACAAGCTTCCGGTCAGGGGCTCAGTCGCCATCTCCTCCTCCTCCTCTTGATCGGATTGGTTTCTCCCCCGAGGATCACCATCGCCGGTTCCGGAACACGACGCCGGGACCCACCTACCGTCCTTCGTCTACGCTCAGCAGCTGAAAAAGACACTGCTTCCAGGTGGCTACAGCCGGGGGAATCCGCCAGCGATGGGCAGATGCTGGAGGGGATCCCAACCAGAACCTCAGAGTGGATGCAGTGTCACAGACCAGCAAATTTAGAGGTCACCATCACCCTAGCGGAGGATCATTTGGCTGTAAATAGTAGGGACCAGGCTCCAGAAAGGCAAGCCCTCTGCATCCACCTGACCAATACCGGCACCCTGCAGAAAATTTTCACACCCTCACCTACCCAACAACAAGACACATTTATTCTGCCTTCCCCTTTCCCTCGCTCTAACCTACCATCTTTTTTCAGGCTCCAGACACTACAGGCACTGCTCTCGACCCAGAGAGGGTCCCTCAGGTGTCGGGGCAGCATTGTTGGAGGTGTGGGCAGCCTTGACACTACTGCAGGGAGTGCCCCCTCATGGAGGTCAGTCAAGTGACCCAGGTTGCTGGCCTACCAACACTCTCCCACCTGCGTTCAGTAAGGATTCAAGGGGGTATACATAAGACAATGGTGGATTCAGGCTGTATGCAGTCTTAAATTCATCAGAACCTGGTTAAACCTGGGGCTTTGGTGAAGGCATCATAGGTAGATATTAGGTGTATGCATGGGGATGTTCACAGATACCCGGTTGTGCTGGTGGAAATTAGACATGGGTAAAAAGCATAGTGTTAAGTCTGCGGTTAGTTCCCGCTTGACCAAGTTGTTGGGTCTGGAAACTGTTTTCCAGGCGGCTCATTATAACCCAATGGTGGGTCACATAGGGTATGACAAAACACTAAATCGGATAATTGCCTGATTCTATTAGCCTGTCATTCGGGGAGATGTACGCTGCTGGTGTGCGTCTTGTCCCGGATCTCAGTTGGTTAACCAATCAGCCATCCCAAGAGCGCCTGTGCGTCCATTACCACTCAATAAGTATGGACCTGTATTGGCATTGACCTCATACGGCCATTTCACCGGAGTGCACGTGGATATTGTTTTGTACTAGTTCTGGTGATTTATGCAACTCGATATCCAGAAGCAGTGCCTCTGCGCACAATCTCTGCAAGAATATTGCACAGGCACTGTTTCAGGTCATCTCCCTAGTTGGGATCGCAAAAGAAATCCTAACAGATCAACTAACTCGTTTGTGTCACGCACACTTCTGGAACTGTATGGATTATTGGGCATCAGGTCAATTCGGACTAGTGTATAGTCCGTTTCTCTGGTGACCATGGTGAAAGAGAGAGCTGAGTTGGGGCCCGAGATACCAAATTCCACAAATCCTGCTTTGCTCCATAGTGATGCCATCTCACACTGTCCTAGAGAGCAGACGTTGCTATGTTGCAACAGTGTTATGCCATGTGTTTTCCCCCCTGCCAGGATGCACAAATCTTTTTACACTTCTTTTCGGGTTGTTTGGTGCCCCGGCCACCTTCCAGCGGCTCATGGACCGTGTCCTGCGTCTGCACTCTGCGTATGCTGCCGCCTACTTGAATGATGTTACTATCCATAGTAACAGCTGGCGGGAGCATATGCAGCGTGTGGCAGCGGTGCTCGAGTCGCTGAGGCAGGTTGGGCTCACTGTCAACCCAAAGAAGTGTGCAGTTGGACGGAGGGAGGTAAGGTATCTGGGGTACCACTTGGGCAGTGGGCAGTTGCATCCTCAAGTAGATAAGACAGCAGCAATTGCAGCCAGCCCACGGCCCAAGACCAAAAAGGAGGTGAGACGGTTCTTGGGGCTGGCATGTTGGTAGGTTAGGCCGGATGGCTACCCTGCCTAAGTCGGGCGGTGGGGGTATGTGGAGATGGATGTGGTTTACACTGCAGGAGAGAGAGAGGTGTGGGGAATGCTTGTGAGAGCAGCGCCAGGTGAGTTGATGATCTCAGCTGTTACTCATTACGGCTTGCAGAGAAAGGAGCTAAGATAGGCAGGCTAAAGCAGCTTAAATAAGGGGCCCTGAATGACATTTGCCAATTGGATGCTTGGAGGGAATCAGCTGAGATCAGCTGATGTAGCTGGAATTGAGAACTGAGCTTGATTTGTGGCCTGCCTGAACTAATGCTGTGCTTAATTAGTGTACTGGAACTGAGTTGGCCGCCACACACACATCAGAGGGGGGAAATCATCATAGACTTTTGAAGAAGGCAATATCAGCCAAAAAGCTGAGTTTTGTGTTGAGGGTGTCTGCAGCTGAGGAAAGAATAAAAGTTGTGTTGATTAATTGACTTATGGTGCTTGCTTGTGTGCTGGGGGAACCCACGGTTGTAGACAGACTTGCTACATGTACATTAGCTGTAAATCATGTAGCAACAGATTCAGATAAACTCAGCCTCTGACTAAACTCTGAGAGAAACTTTGTTTTGTTCTTTGTGCTATGTACTTCTAGTCTCTCTCCCTTGTGTGTGAGAGAGAGAAACAAGTAGGTGGTTTTTCTTCGTATTTTTTCTTGATGCATAGCTGAAGCCCTAATAACCACATCATTGTGTTTCTCTGTGAGAACTATGAGGGAGGAAGTACAGTGAGCAGTCTTTCTATCAGACATCCACACTGACAGGCACAGATAGGTAAACGCTGCAGATATTTCATCTTCTCTTATGTGCACTTCTTCTGATTTTATGCTGACATTTAAATGTTAGACATTTTTATATCTAAATTATTTTAGATGTATTATCACTGTCATATATATCATTTTAGCTGATCAGAGTAGTAAGTAGAATGATTGAGAGTTGACGGTGCTTTAAGGATACAATATTTGACTGGTTATTTTCTACAATGATTGAAATATGTCAGGATATTTGGTTTGAAACTATCCATTGGTTGAAGTTTTTTTTGGCCTTTTATTGCCTTTATTGATAGTGACAGCTGAAAATAGACAGGAGAGGGGGGCAGAGAGAGGGGATGACACACAGCAAAGGGCCACAGGTCGGATTTGAACCTGTGCTGCTGCAGCTACTCTGTTCATGGGTCGCCAGCTCTACCGACTGAGCTAATCAGGCGCCCTATTATTGATATATGCTAATGTTTTGATCAGGTCTAGAATAATACAGCCAACCTTTAAGTGTGAACCTATCGTGACATCACCCACTAAATGAATAAACAAATACAGAGCTCTGGCCATCAAGCACACTGACAGTGTAGGGCCTATTGCATGGCGAGGTCTCCTGTTGCAATAAGGTATATCCGTTTTGTGGAATCTGGCATTGTTGGTGTGAAGCAGCAGGATATGCTCAGTCTGCCAGGTGTGATCAAAGGTCACCATACGGGTCTATCGCGTGTCTGTGCTCGCGTCCGGGTGTAATCCGTGCTGTAATCCAGCATTGTTAAGTGTGAAACCATGGTGCATCCCTTCACATCTTCCTTCAATAATTCAATTTGGGTCAAGTAGAAATAAGGAAGAAAAGAGGGGGAGCCAAACAGCCACTGTTTTATCATCTGTACTATGTAAGATAAATATGTAGGATTAATAAATATATTAATTAATATATGCTCCCCAGCTGAGCTCGGCCAAAGTGTGGTTTATTGTGTGTATTACAGCCACAGACAGTCAGTCGTGAAGTCTCACTCGGTTGGAGGGCATGTGGGCAATTTTCAAAAGCCTGTTTCTGTTTCACAGCAGAAGGGACTTTCATCGTCTGTCCCACCCATTAAATGATAAATAATTAATGCACAAAACTAAAAACCTGCGCTTGTTATCTAAATTCTACTTTTTGTGAGTAAAGTGGTTGAAAAAGTGGTTCCAAAATATTATTTAAAATATAAAATAGCTCTCAAGCACCCTCTAAAATGGCATAGCATTTTTCTCTTGTCCCACCTTCTTGATGACCAAATTGTTACAGTTAAAATAAGTTTTAAATCTACGTTTTTGGTTTAATTTTGTTGATATATGTCTCTATCTCATATTTTAAATAATAGTAATTATGCACTGAAGTTGTGTCCCTCAACATGCATGAAACCCTGTTACCAAAACCCACTGAACCTAGAACAGGAAGAGAAAAACAAAAACAAAAGATAAGTCCTCTCTTCTTTTTTTTACATATTTTTTCATCTTTGCTTGGTTGTGTCACTCTGATCAACGCAACCCTGTTATTCATATTATCAGAATAAGACAAATGTTGAATTTGACATCCGCCTTGATTGTGACATAATCCTAACTTGACAAAATATGTTAGAGCTATTTGTTACACTTTCTTTATTTGTAGTTACCTACTATCTACCAAACAATATCAAGTTTTCTTAATCCTAAATTACTTTCTCAACTCAAAAAAGTTTAACCTAGTGTCCTTTTTATTAGTTTTAAAGATTATATGCATAATTTACTTGAGCAAATATTTTTAGACTTAAATTAGTACAACATAATGTGTGACTATTGAAAAGTTGGGCAAGATAGATTTCAAAAGTATTCAAAATGAATGTGACTTTTTTACTTGGTTGGTAAAGAATTTATTAAAAACTATATTTTGAAATATACTTACAGGGATTAAGGATAGCACACAACAAATAAAACATGTCATAAAAAGTGTACCTTTGAGCTTGAGCTGGACGGATCAATTTATTGCGTGTCATTTGAAATTCATGGTAAAGTAATTTTTGGTGACAGCCCTGTGGTGGCAGCTTGCAGGGCCATGTCCTCCCTCTGTCAGGCTGTGTGTAGCAAAAAATGTGTCGCAAGATGTTGGCTGTGCCGAGGGTTTGATAAGCCATCTTTCAAAGCGACTGATTTGCTACAATCACCACAGAGGATGCACTTTTTCAGATCTACCTCAGGTTCATATTTGACAGCAGAAACCTTTGAGTCCTCTATCCTCCCATTCGCCAAGTGTTGGAAAGGTCTTTGCATCCTCAACTACCTGGACAAAGGAGATTGATTCAGTCCCAACCTCCTTCTGTCCACGGGCCAAAGTGTCAAGCACAGTATATTAATCTTCTTGAATTGCAGGCTGTTGATGAAGCTCTTTCGCACTTCCTGCCAGATAAACCACCAAGTGTTGGTGAGAACAGACAGTACAGTGGCAGCAGTGAACAAGGGGGGCCTGGTGTCAGACTCCCTCTTGACGACATAAAGATGAGCTGTGGGTGTACCTTCCAATGCACAGCCGAGTCGTTATGCAAAATTTGGCACAAATTGGCCACTAGGTTAGTTGCAAAGTCATAAAATACAATGAAATATTTTTTCCAAACTACTTTTTTTTTTTTTACCGAAGGTTTTCTAATGTCTGCTTTGCTCTCAACACCTGTGACTTGGATCGCACGCAGGGGCCTGCAGGCTCAACTTGCACCAGGTGTGGCTTGAACCCCGCTAATGCCTGCATGCAGGTCTAGTTTTATCTGTGTTGGATTATGGGTATGTTGAAAGCTGCTGCCTTCACATCGAAATCACTGGATGCTGCCTGTAGCCCTAAGGTTTATAACTGGTGATCCTTGCAGCACCCGCCTCTGCCATTTTTACCAAATGGTGGTCTTTAGCGTCTTTAGCTGTGTGGCAGGCCCAGCATTAGTTATTATTTATCTATAAAGTTTTAATAAAGATGCTTCCAGGCTATATTTCTTCCGTTTTAACACCAAACTCATCTTGGTAGTTGCTCATGAAATAGCTTTTTGCTCCACATACCATTAATCAGACATGAATTAGGAAAAATTTTATTCTCTTTCTTGGAATAATCTGCAAAAGCCTTAAATTTGGATTCTCTGTTGCCACTATGGCTGTTCAAAGGCCTTATTTCAGACCTGGTATCTGTTTATTATTCTTGTGTTTTTTTCTTTTATTCTGTTTTATACTTCATTGTATTTATTTATTCCATGTTATTATTTACTCCATAGCATGTTAATTATCCTGTATTTTAACTTTTATATATCAAAGATTGTTGTTTTTATTGTCAGCTGTTTTGTTTGTTGCCTTGATTTACATCTTGACCCCATTGTAAATTCTCTTCTATGGTCTTTCAAGGTAAAATAAATGTTGTGTAGCTCAACTGGAAAAATGAGTGAACAGGGAGAAGTAGAAGTCACCTCTTCCGTCAACCAGTCCTCAGTTACAAACCACACTGAAGTTGACGGTTTGACTAACTGTGATCAGGTCGGCACTTCAGCCAATCCCTTCTTTATAATTGTCTTCAGTCTGGTGTTTCTGGTGAGTTTCAATAACAGCACAACCTTAGAAGACTCAGAGGCTCAATGTATATTCACCCTTTTCTAATTGACTGTAAAAGATATATGCTATTAAATGATAATTTCTTTAATACAATTGATTCAGAGCAATTCAATATTTAAATTAAATGTAATATCTTGTGTCCATCAGGTCAAATCCTTTGTTCAGCTCAAACTTATGACTGCAAATGCTGTAAATTGTTGTAAAGCTGACTTCACCTGCTTTTCTCTGCAGGTGGGTCTCCTCCTCAACAGCTTCATCATGAAGTTTTACTTCTGCCGACGTCACCGGCAGACGTCCAGCAGCATTGTTGTCTACCTGAAGAACCTGGCAGCAGCTGACTTCCTGCTCTGTCTCTGTCTCCCCATCCGCATCGCCAACTATGCCAGCAACACAGTCGCTGTCCGCCTGGTCCAATGCAACTTTGGCTCCGCCCTCTTCTTCCTCAACATGTACGCCAGCATCATGTTCATGTGCTACATTGCTGCTAACAGGTAGGCCAGGGTGGCAATGTGGCATTGTGGGTATACAGAGTGGCCTGTCATTGGCTGTGATCTTCTTGAGTTCCCATTGAACTTTGAAGTTGGTAGATCTTGTGGCACAAAAATAGACTTATAACTGACTTCACAATTTTATCAGTGCAAACAAAAATGCATCAGTTTCATGGTTTCTAGTTTTATCAACACACAGGAAACACAATTGGACACAAAGTAGTGTTCCTCAGACCAGGAATGCTCTCATGAGTACTACTCATGTACTCAAATTATTGAGTTTTGTATTGACAGCAGCCTCTTCTCTCTCCAGGTATCTGAAAATTGTCCGAGGAACTTCAGGAACTCACATCCTGCAGACGGTGTGGGCTGCCCACATTGTCTGCACTGTAACCTGGGTTTTACTTCTGGCCATGAGTAGCACCTTAATCATCCTGTCATTCCACACCCAGAAACCTTTGACCTCTGTCCCAGTGAACTGTGAAGTCTTACGCAGTGGCCAGCTCATCTCTTTCCATAAAGTCATGCACGCCTGCGCCATCTCCATGTTCATCTTTTTCCTTGTCTCCCTGGTCTTCTTCTACTATAGTACCTCCCGCAGGGTATTGCTGGCACAGAGAAGCCAGCCGGCGTCCTCCAGCTCCAAGAAGCTTGTAAAGTCACACAGGAAGATGTTAGTGCTGGTCTGTGTCTTCTGCTTTTGCTTCGTCCCCTACCACCTGGTTCGCCTTCCCAAAGCTTTCCTGTGGAGATATTGTTCATGGCGCAAGGTTTTATACTACCTGATGGAGGTGAGCATCATAATGTCAGTTCTCAACGTCTGTCTGGATCCACTTCTTTACTTCATCTTCTGCAAGGCGTTCAGGACCCAGCTTAGCCAGAGACTGGGGTCTAGAAAATGATAATGCAGTGTTAGCTGCCAGTAATGTCATACATTACACGTTGTTTTTTTTGTTTTTTTTTAATATATTGTGGGGGCTAATATTGCTATTCATAGCTGAAGGCTGACGGGAGAGCGGGGATGACACGCAGCAAAGGGCGTCCTTGTAATACAAAATTGTAACAAAAACTGATCTTGTAATCACAATGTAATAACTGTAAATAATACCTGCAATGATACCAAATTGTGATATAAAACTGGTTGTAGCATAAGATAACAAGCCTGGCTGTCAACTTCATGGTAGTGCTAGAGGAAGTCAGAGGATTCATTGTCTGAAAACCAGGAATGTCTGTTCAAAATGTTGTGCTGATCCATCAAGTATGTTGAGTTTGGCATTACAGGAAAAAGTCAGGTGATCACCAAAGTCAACAAGTCTGGAACAAAAGTGGTGTACCACACGAACAATTTAGCTATCCCAACAATAACTATTATCTTAACGTACAGTGTGTCAGTGTTTTTCTGAATGTAGCTGATTTCAATTTGAAGTTCTGTCCTTGAATACATGTCACATTTTTTTGAAGTTATCTGTTGATGCTTGTGTAGCTGGCAATAATGGTCCATCTTTCTTACATTCTCATATCTTTCTCTGTCTTTCATTTAATCTTAATCTCTGTGTCATACTAGTGGTGAATACATTTCTATCTTCAGTCACAAAATAAATTGTATGGAGTGCTGCTTGGGTGTGAAAAAAAACACAAAGCCCTCCTCTGGCTCCTGACCTCTCCCTTGGAGGGAGGAGCTCAACAAATTTATAGATGTTGGCTGTGCTGAGGTTTTCAAAGCAACTGCTTTGCCACAATCGACCTAGAGGATGCATATTTTCAGCTACCTCAGAAGCAGAACAAGCTTCTGGAGAATCTGCTGGTCCGGTCAGGGGCTCAGTCGCCATCTCCTCCTCCTCCTCTTGATCGGATTGGTTTCTCCCCCGAGGATCACCATCGCCGGTTCCGGAACACGACGCCGGGACCTACCTACCGTCCTTTGTCTACGCTCAGCAGCTGAAAAAGACACTGCTTCCAGGTGGCTACAGCCGGGGGAATCCGTCGGCGATGGGCAGATGCTGGAGGGGATCCCAACCAGAACCTCAGAGTGGATGCAGTGTCACAGACCAGCAAATTTAGAGGTCACCATCACCCTAGCGGAGGATCATTTGGCTGTCCATAGTAGGGACCAGGCTCCAGAAAGGCAAGCCCTCTGCATCCACCTGACCAATACCGGCACCCTGCAGAAAATTTTCACACCCTCACCTACCCAACAACAAGACACATTTATTCTGCCTTCCCCTTTTCCTCGCTCTAACCTACCATCTTTTTTCAGGCTCCAGACACTACAGGCACTGCTCTCGACCCAGAGAGGGTCCCTCAGGTGTCGGGGCAGCATTGTTGGAGGTGTGGGCAGCCTTGACACTACTGCAGGGAGTGCCCCCTCATGGAGGTCAGTCAAGTGACCCGGGTTGCTGGCCTACCAACACTCTCCCACCTGCGTTCAGTAAGGATTCAAGGGGGTATACATAAGACAATGGTGGATTCAGGCTGTATGCAGTCTTAAATTCATCACAACCTGGTTAAACCTGGGGCGTTGGTGAAGGCATCATAGGTAGATATTAGGTGTATGCATGGGGATGTTCACAGATACCCGGTTGTGCTGGTGGAAATTAGACATGGGTAAAAAGCAGTGTTAAGTCTGCGGTTAGTTCCCGCTTGACTTGACTCCCTGTTTTTGGGCACGAATTAGCCTGGGTTTAATATATTAATAGGGCAGTGTGTGGGAATGTGTTCAAAACCGGTAGGAACATGGGATATGTGTGCTATGCTCAGTGGTGACACAGGGTTGTCCGACACTGCAGAGGGGGAGTGGGAACTGGTGGTGACTCCACATGAGGCTCCCTCTGTTGCACTCCATGGAAGATTTTCCACTTGAGCAGTGTGGTGACAATACTCTATGCTTTGCCTTTGACCAAGTGACAAAAAAAGTTGGTGCGCCCTGATGCAGCGGAGACATATCCACATTTTACATTGGTTAGGGACAAGCTATACAGAGTAAATCGTGACAGTCAGCAGAGGAAATGACCTAGTTGTTGGGTCTGGAAACTGTTTTCCAGGCGGCTCATTATAACCCAATGGTGGGTCACATGGGGTATGACAAAACACTAAATCGGATAATTGCCTGATTCTATTAGCCCGTCATTCGGGGAGATGTACCCTGCTGGTGTGCGTCTTGTCCCGGATCTCAGTTGGATAACCAATCAGCCATCCCAAGACCGCCTGTGAGTCCATTACCACTCAATAAGTATGGACCTGTAATGGCATTGACCTCATACGGCCATTTCACCGGAGTGCACGTGGATATTGTTTTGTACTAGTTCTGGTGATTTATGCAACTCGATATCCAGAAGCAGTGCCTCTGCGCACAATCTCTGCAAGAATATTGCACAGGCACTGTTTCAGGTCATCTCCCTAGTTGGGATCGCAAAAGAAATCCTAACAGATCAACTAACTCGTTTGTGTCACGCACACTTCTGGAACTGTATGGATTATTGGGCATCAGGTCAATTCGGACTAGTGTATAGTCCGTTTCTCTGGTGACCATGGTGAAAGAGAGAGCTGAGTTGGGGCCCGAGATACCAAATTCCACAAATCCTGCTTTGCTCCATAGTGATGCCATCTCACACTGTCCTAGAGAGCAGACGTTGCTATGTTGCAACAGTGTTATGCCATGTGTTTTCCCCCCTGCCAGGATGCACAAATCTTTTTACACTTCTTTTCGGGTTGTTTGGTGCCCCGGCCACCTTCCAGCGGCTCATGGACCGTGTCCTGCGTCTGCACTCTGCGTATGCTGCCGCCCACTTGAATGATGTTACCATCCATAGTAACAGCTGGCGGGAGCATATGCAGCGTGTGGCAGCGGTGCTCGAGTCGCTGAGGCAGGTTGGGCTCACTGTCAACCCAAAGAAGTGTGCAGTTGGATGGAGGGAGGTAAGGTATCTGGGGTACCACTTGGGCAGTGGGCAGTTGCATCCTCAAGTAGATAAGACAGCAGCAATTGCAGCCAGCACACGGCCCAAGACCAAAAAGGAGGTGAGACGGTTCTTGGGGCTGGCATGTTGGTAGGTTAGGCTGGATGGCTACCCTGCCTAAGTCGGGCGGTGGGGGTATGTGGAGATGGATGTGGTTTACACTGCAGGAGAGAGAGAGGTGTGGGGAAGGCTTGTGAGAGCAGCGCCAGGTGAGTTGATGATCTCAGCTGTTACTCATTGAGTAATCACTCTCTCTTCTCTTAATGCAGTTCAGTCAGGACCACTTTTGTCAAAAGCACTTTTATTTCCAAAGCAGAATGTTACATTTGGCGGTATGCCTCTGTTCTGGGACCTCCTTGCCCTTCCACGTGTCTATGTGGAAACGTTTAAGACAAAGAGAGCAGCAGCAGAGACCCCTAGGGTACAGAACAGAGCAAGTATCAATGGCAATCCACAGTTTTAGAGAGACTTGCTACATGTACACATTAGCTGTAAATCATGTAGCAACAGATGCACCAACCTGTGAGTTTTTGTTAAACTCATAACGCTTATTCAATGGTATGACAACAGTAAAATCGGGTGAACTCAGCCTCTGCTGACCAGAGAAACTTAGTTTTTTTTTCTTTGTGCTATGTACCTTGTGTGTGTGTAACCACATCATTCTGTTTCTGCTGTTGTTCTTCCTCTTTGAAAACTATGAGTGAGGAAGTACAGTGAACAGTCTTTCTATCAGACATCCTCACTGACAGGCACAGACAGTTGCAGGTATTTCATCTTCTCTTCTTTGCACTTCTTCTGATTTTATGCAAACAATAAATTTAATTTAAGTCATTATCACTATCATATTTACCAGTTCAGCTGACCATTGAGTAGTAAGTAGGATGATTGAGAGTTGACGATGCATTAAAGATAGAATATTTGACCAGTTATTTTCTTCATTGATTTAAATATGTGAGGATATTTGGTTTGAAACCATCCACTGGTTCATGTTATTGATATATCTTAATGTTTTGGTTAGGTCTAGAATGATACAGCCAACGCAAGTGTGAACCTATCGTGACATCACCCACTAAATAAATAACTAAATACAGAGCTCTGGCCGTCGAGCACACTGACGATGTAGGGCCTTTTGCATCGTGAGGTCTGCTGACGCTCTAAAGTATATCCCTGTTATTCTCAGTCTGCCAGGTTTGATCAAAGGTCACCATACGGGTCTATTGCGTGTCTGTGCCCACGTTTGGGTGTAATCCAGCATTGTTAAGTGTGAAACCACGGTGCATCCCTTCACATCTTCCTTCAATAATTCAATTTGGGTCAAGTAGAAATAAGGAAGAAAAGAGGGGGAGCCAAACAGCCACTGTTTTATCATCTGTACTATGTAAGATAAATATGTAGGATTAATAAATATATTAATATATGCTCCCCAGCTGAGCTTGGCCAAAGTGTGGTTTATTGTGTGTATTACAGCCACAGAGAGTCAGTCGTGAAGTCTCAATCGGTTGGAGGACATGTGCAATTTTCAAAAGCACATTTCTGTTTCACAGCAGAAGGGATTTTCATTGTATGTCCCATCCATTAAATTATAAGTAATTAATGCACAAAAAACTAAAACTTGTGCTTGTTATCTAAATTCTACTTTTCATGAGTATAGTGGTAGAAAAAGTGGTTCCAAAATATTATTTAAATAATATGACCAAATTGTTTTTGGTTTAATTTTGTTGATATATGTCTCTTGTAATCATCAACATATTTTAAATAATAGTAATTATGCACTGAAGTTGTGTCCCTCAACATGCATGAAACCCTGTGACCAAAACCCTATGAACCTAGAACAGGAAGAGAAAAACACAGTCACGTCACACAGAGGAAATAACGTCATCAAGCTATTTTCTAACACCATGGGTAGACCAATGATAAGTCCTCACTTCTTTTTTTAACATATTTTTTCATCTGGTTGTGTCACTCTACTCAATGCAACCCTGTTATTCATATTATCAGAATAAGACAAATGTTGAATTTGACATCCCCCTTGATCGTGACATAATCCCAACTTGACAAAATATGTTAGAGCTATTTGTTACACTTTCTTTATTTGTAGTTACCTACTATCTACCAAACAATATCCAATATAGCTATTGATAGCTGAAGGGTGACGGAAGAGGGTGGGAGAGCGGGGATGACATGCAGCAAAAGGCTGCAAGTTGGATTCAAACCCTGGGCTGCTGCAGCAAGGACTTGCCAGCTCTATGAGGTGAGCTATCCAGTCATCCTTGTAATACAATATTGTACCAAAAACTGATCTTTTAATCACAATGTAATAACTGCAAATAATACCTGCAATACCAAATTGTTGTATAATAACTGGTTGTAGCATAAGATAACAAGCCTGGCTTCATGGTGATGCTAGAGGAAGTCATAGGATTCATTGTCTGAAAACCAGAAATGTCTGTACAAAATGTTGTACTGATCCATCATTGGTATTGAAGTCTGGTGATCACCAAAGTCACAGTATTCCAGATTCAGTCTGGAACAAAAGTAGTGTACCACCAGAACAATTTTCCTATCCCAATAATAACTGTTATCTTAATGTAGAGTCTGTCAGTGTTTTCTGAATGTAGCCTATTTTAATTTGAAGTTGTGTCCTTGAATACATGTCACATTTTGGATATTTTGGTGGTTGTGGGAGTAAAGTTACCTGTTGTTTCCTCTTTCCTGTTCTTCTCCTTTGATCTCCTGACCAGCTGCTTGACTTTAACCATGTCATTATGGTTGATCTCAAACATGGAGAGGAAATCTCAATGATGAACCAAGAAAAGGCCAATGATGGTCCATCTTTCTTCCATTCTCATATCTTTCTCTGTTTTCTCTCTATGTCTTTAATTTAATCTTAATCTCTGTGTCAGACTAGTGGTGAATACATTTCTGTCTTCTGTCACAAAATAAACTCCATCGAGTGCTGCCTGGGTGTCAAGAAAAGAAGGGGGGTGTCCCTCTGGTGCTCTTCAGTTAGGGGATCCCACTAGTTTAAAACTGTAAAAAACAGTATTTACTCATACTCATAACAGTTAAAAAACATTCCTATGCATTTCAGCCATTCAGGCCTTTATCAGGGCAAATTCAAAATGGTTGCCTTTGGCCTGTTTCTTATATCTGTTGGCAAGTAGTCACATGATCAGTATGGACAGGTAAAGTCACATGACAGACCTTGTTCAGCAGAGGAAACCACCCATTAAAAAATAGACAGCAACAGATAAATAGAGAACTATATACTCAACGTCTTTCACTATATCAAGGCAAGATTGCACATGGTGTTTTCAAAGGACTCAGTGGCCTAGAAACACAAAAAAAGAGAGTAGAGAGTACAGAGAGCATTCCTTATGTAATTACTCATTAAACTTGATTACTCATTTCACAACACAATTTAAAAGCAAAACAACAATAAAACATTTGCAAACATTCACCCAATCTACTGCAGAGTCCATTTTAATTTAAAGCTCCATGCAGTAGATCCTGTCCTGTGTGAATAGGCCATAATGACACCATAACTAATGTCCAGACACAAAGGCACCTCTGTAGCAATACTGGAATTTTCGTGGTTATTTTATTTTAAATAGTTTATTTTCCATAGGTTAGTGAAACTGTATGTGTAACTCAACGTTCCCCCTGTGGATGTGAAGACCTTCCCAACACTTGGAGCATAGATAACTTAGGTTAGGTTTCTAACCCAAGGTTTCGTAGGTGAACCTGAGGTAGCTGAAAATATGCATCCTCTAGGTCGATAGTGGCAAAGCAATCGCTTTGAAACCCTCGACACAGCCAACATCTTACAACACAGGGTTTATACATTTGTTGAGCTCCGCCCCCTGAGGGAGAGGTCAGGAGCCGGAGGAGGGCTTTCTGGGCACCTGCCCCCATGCCCTCTGAGCACAGCGGTGGGCCTCTTGGGCCTGCTGGAACTTTGTATTTGCGCCTATCCCCACGTGCATCCTGACAGAGGGAGGCAATGACTCGTCCCCTAGGTCGATTGTGGTAAACCAGTCACTTTGAAAGATGGCTTGTCAAACCCTCAACACATCTTGCAACACAGGGGATGAAAATGTAGTGTACACATTAGCTGTAAATCATGTAGCACCAACCTGTGGGTTTGTGTCAACTCAGCCTCTGACTGAACTCTGAGAGAAACTTTTTCTCTTTTTTGTTCTTTGTTCCAGTTCCTATTCTTATATATACATGTTTATGAAGCAGATTCATAAAGGACCAGGACAAGTATAAAGTTTTAATTTTCAACTCACAGGAATTTGTCAGTTAGCAAAATTAGTTAGCAATAGTGTTGTTGTTGTAGTGTTGTGGACTGACGACTGACCATTAGCCTACAGCATGGCTAAAAGTGTCTTCAGCTGCATCTGTGGGCCTGTTCATCGGAACTAGACAGGAAGATGTAGTAGTGTGTATCTGTGTGTGTGTGAGTGTGACAAGTAGGTGGTTCTTCTTATCATATTTCTTGATGCACAACTGAAGCCATGATTACCATCATTCTGTTTCTGCTGATGTTCCTCCTCTGTTAAAACTGTGAGGGAGGAAGAATAGTGAACAGTCTTTCTATCAGACATCCTCACTGACAGGCACAGACAGGTAAACGCTGCAGATATTTCATCCTCTCTTCTTTGCACTTCTGATTTTATGCCGACATTTAAATGTTAGACATTTTTATATCTAAAAATCACCAGTCATTATCACTATCATATATATCAGTTCAGCTGACCATTGAGTAGTAAGTAAAATGAGTGAGAGTCGACGGTGCATTAAGGATACAATATTTGACCAGTTATTTTCTACATTGATTTAAATATGTGAGGATATTTGGTTTGAAACCATCCACTGGTTTATGTTATTGATATATCTTAATGTTTTGGTCAGGTTTAGAATAATTCAGCCAACTCAAGTGTGAGCCTATTGTGACATCACCTACTGGTTTGTGAAGTACAGTTTCGTAGTCTTGAGTTTGGCATTATGTTCATCGCCATGACAGTTTGTCTGCGAGTTGACACAAAAAAAATTTTCGGAAACAATTTTAAGTGAGAAATAGACAACACAGTCACAGAATCTTGATTCATATTTGATCTGCCTAGTTTTAAAATTAGATCTGAGTTTTGTGCGGTGCGATGGACCGACTCACTGACAATAATTTGTTAATCAAAAGGTAGCCACACCCTAAATCATACCCTGCTTATCGACTATTTTACTCTAAATTGGACCATCATTTAGTAAATGAACATCATAATGTACGTGGGAGAAGACCAGTCAAGCACACTGATGGCGTAGGGCCTATTGCATGGCGAGGCCTGCTGACGCACTAAGGTATATCCCCGTTGTGGAATCTGGCGTTGTTGGTGTGAAGCAGCAGGATATGCTCAGTCTGCCAGGTGTGATCAGAGGTCACCATACGGGCCTATCGTGTGTCTGTGCCCACGCCTGGGTGTAATCCAGCTTTGTTAAGTGTGAAACCACGGCGCATCCCTTCACATCTTCCTTCAATAATTCAATTTGGGTCAAGTAGAAATAAGGAAGAAAAGAGGAGGAGCCACAAGCTGTTTTATCATCTGTACTATCAGCATATTTAAAATAACAGTAATTATGCACTGAAGTTGTGCCCCTCTACATGCATGAAATCCTGTTACCAAACCATTTAACTTAGCACAGGAAGAGAAAAAACAGTCACATCTCACAGAGGAAATAACACTATCAAGCTATTTCCTAACACCATGGGTAGACCAAAGATAAGTCTTCTCTTCTTTTCTTTTTTTTTTACATATTTTTTCATCTTTGCTTGGTTGTGTCACTCTAATCAATGCAACCCTGTTATTCATATTTAGAATAAGACAAATGTTGAATTTAACATCCTCCTTGATCGTGACATAATCCCAACTTGACGAAATATGTTAGAGCTATTTCTTACATTTTCTTTATTTGTAGTTACCTACTATCTACCAAACAATATCCAGTTTTCAGCAGGCAGTAACAGCATTGTAGCAATCAATATGATCCTTTTGCACCTTTTGATCCTTCATTGAAAAGAACAGTATTCATTTGCCACATTTATGTAATGATCTGCAATCAAAAGTAATCCATTCTACCCTGTTACTCTAATTTCAACTCTGTTACCATATAATTTCATTAAAATAAACTAAAATGACTTTCTCATTTCAAAAGGGTTTAACATGTGTGTCCTTTTATTAGTTTGAATGATTATATACATATTTATTTGAGCAAATATTGGAAAATAAATACTGAAACTAAATGATTATTCAAAGTGAATGTGACTTTTTTACTTGATGGTAAAGAATTTATTAAAAACAATATTTTAAAATATATTTTTCAGAAGTATTCAGAGTATCAGTAACAGGGATTAAGGATAGCACACAACAAATAAAACGTGTCATAAAAAGTGTACCTTTGATGCTTGAGCTGGACGGATCAACAAATTGCGTGTCATTGGATGTCCTGACTCTGTCAGGCAGCGTGTGGCACCAAAAAATGTTTAGCCCCTGTGTTGCAAGATGTTGGGTTTGATAAACCATCTTTCAAAGCGGCTGGTTTGTTACAAACAACGTAGAGGATGCATATTTTCAGATCTACCTCAGGTTCACCTTTGACGGCAGAAACCTTTGAGTTCTCTATTCTCCTATTCACCAAATGTTAGTTGTGTGCAATAAAAATGTTTTCCCGATCTCTGTTCGGCTCTCAACACCTGTGATTTGGCTCGTGCGCTGAGCCTGCAGGTTCAACCGATGCTGTCTGTAGCCCTAACGTTTATAACTGGTTATCCTTTTCTACCAAAGGGTTGGCTGGCTGTCTTTAGCTGTGTGGCAGGGCCAGCATTAGTTATTATTCATCTATAAAGTTTTAATAAAGATGCTTCCACACTATATTTCTTCTGTTTTAACACCAAACTCATCTTGGTAGTTGCTCATGAAATAGCTTTTTGCTCCATATTCCATTAATCAGACATGAATTAGGAAAAATGTCAATCATTTTCAATGCACCTTATACTTGGAATAATCTGCAAAAGGCCTTAAATTTGGACTGTCTGCTGCCACTATGGCTGTTCAAAGGCCTTATTTTAGATCCCATTTCTTAGTTTTTTGTAAATGTTTTTAACTACACTATAACTGTATCTGTTTATTACTCTTGTGTTTTTTTTCTTTTATTCTATTTTATACTTCATTGTATTTATTTCTTCTATATTATTATTTACTCCATAGCAGTTAATTATCCTGAATTTAACTTTATATATCATACATTGTTGTTTTTATTGTCAGCTGTTTTGTCTGTTGCCCCTTGTGTTTTATCTTGACCCCATGGTAAATTCTCTTCTATGGTCTTTCAAGGTAAAATACAGATTGTGTAGATCAACCGGAAAAATGAGTGAACGAGGAGAAGTAGAAGTCACCTCTTCCGTCAACCAGTCCTCAGTTACAAACCACACTGAAGTTGACGGTTTGACTAACTGTGATCAGGTCGGCACTGCAGCCAAACTCTTCTTTATAATAGTCTACAGTCTGGTGTTTCTGGTGAGTTTCAAAAACAGCACAACCTTAGAAGACTCAGAGGTTAAATGTATATTCACCCTTTTCTAATTGACTGTAAAAGATCTATCCTATTAAATGACAATTACTTTAATACATTTGATTCAGAGCAATTCAATATTTAAATGAAATGTAATATCTTGTGTCCATCAGGTCAAATCCTTTGTTCAGCTCAAACTTATGACTGTATATGTTGTAAATTGTTGTAAAGCTGACTTCACCTGCTTTTCTCTGCAGGTGGGTCTCCTCCTCAATGGCTTCATCATGAAGTTTTACTTCTGCCGAGGTCACCGGCAGGCATCCAGCAGCATTGTTGTCTACCTGAAGAACCTGGCAGCAGCTGACTTCCTGCTCTGTCTCTGTCTCCTCCTCCGCATCATCAACTATGCCAGCAGCACAGTCGCCGTCCGCCTGGTCTACTGCAACTTTGGCTCCATCCTCTTCTTCCTCAACATATACGCCAGCATCATGTTCATGTGCTACATTGCTGCTAACAGGTAAGCTAGGCTGGCCTGCCATTGGCTGTGATCTTCTTGAGTTCCCATTGAACTTTGAAGTTGGTAGATTTTGTGGCACAAAAATAGACAATTTTATCAATGCAGACAGAAATGCATCAATTTCATGGTTTCTGGTTTTATCAAAATACAGGAAACACAATTAGACAGAAAGTAGTGTTCCTCTGAGCAAGAGTGCTCACATGAGTACTACTTGAATGCCAAGAATATCACATACTCAAATTCAAATTCTCAGGTCAAACAGATAAATACCCAGTTTCCATTGAGGGGAGCAGTAAATGCTGAACTTCATACTGTGGCTGTTATTTATTGATGCCAACCTCTCCTCTCTCCAGGTATCTGAAGGTTGTCCGAGGAACTTCAGGAACTCACATCCTGCAGACAGTGCAGGCTGCCCACATTGTCTGCACTGTAACCTGGGTTTTACTCCTGGCCATGAGTAGCACCTTCATCATCCTGTCATTCCACACCCAGAAACCTTTGACTTCTGACCCAGTGAACTGTGAAGTCATTCACAGTGACCAGCTTATCTATTTCCACAAAGTCATGCACGGCTGCGCCTGCGCAGTGTTCGTGTTTTTCCTTGTCTCCCTGGTCTTCTTCTACTATAGTACCTCCCGCAGGGTGATGCTGGCACAGAGAAGCCAGCCGGCGTCCTCCAGCTCCAAGAAGCTTGTAAAGTCACACAGGAAGATCTTAGTGTTGGTCTGTGTCTTCTGCTTTTGCTTCGTCCCCTACCACCTGGTTCGCCTTTCCAAAGCTTTCCTGTGGAGATATTGTTCATGGCGCAAGGTTTTATACTACCTGATGGAGGTGAGCATCATAATGTCAGTTCTCAACATCTGTCTGGATCCGCTCCTTTACTTCATCTTCTGCAAGGCGTTCAGGACCCGGCTTAGCCAGAGACTGGGGTCTAGAAAATGATCATTATTATACATAACATTTTAGCTGCCAGTAATGTAATACAACATTGTAACAACAACTGCTCATTTAATCACAACAAAATGACTGCTAATAATATAATAACATAATTACATAGCATAACTGTGAATAATTTAAGAAAGATTTTGATAAAACCTAATAATGTAAAACAGAAAAACTGCCTACTGTGTAATAAACAAGTGTAATAAAAATGCTTAAAAATTGTGAGCAATGTTAAAAAAATAAAACAAACAATGTATTAACTGCTTATACTAAAATAATAATATAATAATACAAATGTTACATTACAATTTCCGTGGTTGTTATGTGTTGTAATTATGTGTCGAGGGGATGTATTTAGATACAGCTGTGCTTTAATCTAACATCAGCATACTAACCTGTTCTCTATGACTAGCGTTTAGCTGTATGCTGCAGTTGATAACGAGTACTAAAGCACAGTACAGCTAAAGCTAATTGGGGCGTCATTAGTTTAGTGTTGGACTAATAAAAAGTCATTTTTTTATCTGAATGCTGCTAGAGGAGAAGTTTCAGCAACAGTATTATCGAAACAAAGGTGTATTGAATCTGCCCCGAATCAGCGCTCTTATAAATAGGAGTAAACATTGCTCTGTATTCTCTGCCACCACCTACACCTGTGTTCCCTTGTGCTTCTCAAGTGCATCTAAAGTGAGTTATTTCTTTGTCAGTTTGATAATGTCACGTATTTGTTTAGCTTTATTTATGACTAATTACAGTGTTTAACTGATGTATTGTTTGTGTTTAAATATTACTCTTTGTTCAGAGCTAATGAGAATTTGAGTTTAGTTTGATAATTAGGAATAGTTAAGATTAAGATGAATGAATTTATTACTTATGCTGTACATGTTTCTGTCCGTGTAATTAATTCAGACCCACTACTTGATGAAGTTAAAGAGAAATTCATGTCAGAATAAAACTCCTTTTTTGTGGAATCTGCTACCTCAATCACACTAATTTCGGTTATTAATACACCAGCAATCTCCAATTAAGTTATACCTAAAACAGATATTACTACTCAGGGGTGTAGCACAAAATTCTGAATCCTGTACATAGCCATTGTCTATGGGCAACTCTCCAAATCTATGGGTATTCATTTGGTATCTTTGTGGGTGCACCCACACATTGGCCCTGTACATACTAATATTTTACATACATAAACTTTTTCCCCCCAGTCTGACACCCGTGGCTGCACCAAATGTCAAAGTCAAAACCACAAATGTCAACCTCATGGTGGCGATAGGGAAAGTCATTATGACTCATTTAATGTAAAGCTCTATACCTGAATACATGTCACTTTTTTGTTGTTGGTGGTTGTGTGAGTAAAGTTACCTGTCTTTTCCTCTTCCCTTTCTTATCCTCTGATCTCCCAACCAGCTACTTGACTTTAACAACGCAGTTATTGATGACTCACAGAGAGGAAATCAAACCCAGTCTTCTGAATGATGAACCAAGAAAAGGCCAATGATGGTCCATCTTTCTCCCATTCTCATATATCTCTCTGCCTTCTCTCTCTGTCTTTCTTTCCTTTAATCTTAATCTCTGTCAGGCTAGTGGCGGTGCATTTGGTTCAGAGGAAGAGAGAGAAAGAGGTGTAACTGCTGGTTTTCTGCCAGGTTTTGTTCCTGTCGACATATAATCCATGTTAATAAATGGCTCTTGAGGTCATCACAATGTAGCCGGAGGGAAAATAGGAGAGATACAGAGGCAGGCAAAAAAACTAGGTTTCTGTGTGAGCTTTGAACAGGGTTTATGCAACCTTACTGTTAACCCTGTTTATATTTTTGGAACTGTGTATATTTTGGATACTGTTTATAGTTTATATTTGCCATCTTTCCTACTTTCTCCTGCAACTGCTACAAAACAGTTTCCCTTGGGATGAATACATTTCTATCTTATCTTATGCTGATACGATATGTGGCAAAAAGTCTGTGGACATTTCACCTAGACATGGCTTTCTAAAACCATGGGCATACATCTGCTGTTATAACAGCCTCCACTCTTTAAGGAAGGCTTTCCACCACATTTTGGAACCTAGCTGCAAGGATTTTCACTCATTTGCCACAAGCACATTAATGAGGCAGAGTACTGATCCTGTGTGATAAGGTCCGGCTCGCAAATTGGTCTTCTAGGTCATCCCAAAACTGTTGGAAGGTGGTTGAGGTCAGGGCTCTGTGAAGGACAATCACGTTATTCCAAGACAAACTGGATAAACCTTTCGTTTTGGACGTGGCTTGGTGCATGGGCTCATTGTCATGTTGGACTTTTGGAAAACATCTGCATTGTTATTGCAGTTCCCTGCTTTAAAAAAACAAATTGCACTATTTTCTTTTTTAACATGCAGAGGAGGTAGCAGTAATATTTCAGCCCAACTGGGTGGTGTCTGCTGACCTTTATTCATCTCAGGCTGTACACAACTTCCAACTTGGTTAGGGCAACCTGTATGTGGACTGAGAGGCATAACCTCAGGCAAAAAAAAGTTCACAAATGACTGACTACACAACTGCAAAACTGAAAGCTGACTCAGATGAAAATGTCAACATTTTTATCCTCTCCTCTCTACTCTTATCTGTACTATGGTGACTGGACAGTAAGAGGACAATGTTTAGAGAGATTTTAGTAAGAAAATGAACCTGAAACCTTGAAAACAAAGACAGCAACCTATTACCAGAACTTTTAAAAACCTTGTCTTAGATGCTTGGTTCTTCTTTGCTTTTAAGTTAAAGATATACACCATTAAACAGACAAACCTCCTTTGTGCTGTTGGATAGGCGAGTGAAGTAAGCAGCTGCAACAAAGACAAGTCATTTTCAATGAAGAGAGTAATTTTCTTTCACTTCTAGATGATCATTCAACCCTGTCTCCTGGAAATTACGTTTATATATCGCTAATTTGTTTTGCCAATTTGAGAGAAAACATCATTTTTATCTGGATAATGTTCACAGCGTGTTTTTGGGAGATACTTTAGTTTTTTACCACATGGACAGAAAGCATACAGACCTGGTTGGGGTGGATGGTGGGGACACAAAGTGGAGGACAGCAAAGACAAGCACTCACATCCTCAATTCCTTATGTGGCATAATAATAATAATAATAATACATTTTATTTATAGAGTGCTTTTTTAGGAACTCAAAGACACATTAGTTAAAAAAGGGGGGGAAAAAAAGGTAATAAAAACAACCCACACTATATATATATATATATATATATATATATATATATATATATAACACTCAAACATTAAAAACAATTCTGAGGAGGTGGGCATAAAGTTATGGTAAACTCTCTTGTATATCAAGAAACTGTTGTCTTTAACACATCTTTCTCTTTTAAGTGAGTATTGTGAATGCTTAAACATAACCATAAAAATACTGTCATGCTTTAGTTGCTACAAGCAAGAGTATTGCAGGAGTAGATACTATAAAAAAAAGAGATGTGTTGTCAGTCATTGTTTTGCTGATACATTCAATACGAACATTTTGAAACTTGTTGTTGCAACTTAGAGACAAATGGAGAGTGGTGTATTATGAGTCCACACACTGATGGAGAATTCAGGGGGCACTACTGAGATTAGTCAGGACCCAAAACACGGTCCAACACAGTAAACCTCTTCAGAGTTTCTCACATGGTGATGCCTTCATTTTCTGTAATCCTTTTTGGCTGTGTGTTCTTCTGTGCGCCATTTTGTTTCTATCCACTGACTCCAGCTCCCAGCATTACTAAAAAGGATCTGAACACTAACCCAGAGGTTAGTTAACAGCGGTGTCCAGTGGTGGCCTAAAAGTCAGTAAAGCAAGCTTGTGACCTGGAGGTTGATGGATTCAATCCCCAGACCAGCAGGATAAATCTGTGTGGGGAAAGTGAAGCAGTGCTCGCCCTTCCCTCATTACCACCACTGAGGTGCCCTTGAGTAAGGCCCTTAACCCCAAACGTTCTAGTGGAGCTGCTGTACAAACGGATCAGGGCGTTCCTGCAAAAGAGAGGCTTCCTCTCAGTGAACCACCATGAATAAATAAAATAAAAACAAAAATCTGGTGTTTATTTGCTGTAGTTGTCCTTGTTGTACTGTGACAACACATCTGTTTGAGTATTCAGTCAGCAGCACTAACACCAAGTCCTGGAAGTACCTGTAACAAGAGCAGAACTGACTGTGGCTTCACATTGGTTTTTTTACACTTGGTTAAACCTGCATTAACTACTTTTTTGGCCACTTGGGGTAAGCAGGAACGAGCTGTAGACACAACATATCTTCTTATTAAGTTGTTATGGTGAACAGTTGTCTATTTAGCAAACAGTTGTCTATTTATACAGCCAGTAGATAGCGAGCAACATTATCACAATCCAATATTTACTCTCTATCTCCACCAACTCATGAAAAAATCCATTTATCTTTATCTGCTAAATGCTCAACTATATTCACCAGCTAAAGGCTGTAAACAATGTTTTTGCCCCAAACTAGATGGAATTAACATAAAATTTGCATGTCAGCAAAGGGGAGACTATAAATACCCATAGAACCAATTTTCGTTCAGATATCTTGAGGTCAGTGTTCAAGGGATCTCTTTGAAAATAGCCATGGGATTTTTTCCACGCCAAAATTAGCCCCCTTCACCACATGCTAGCATGACATGGTAGCAATTGATGTGTTAGGTCTAGTTTCAGAAGACACCAGTATCTTCACTGTAACTTTAAAATGGAGTCCGCTACAGCCTCTGAACGACGGGCGAGTGCAAGAGGTAAGGAGAATGGGGTTGCACTTGGGGTGGCCAATCAGATTTCAGGTGTAGCCAGCCCCACACCTCTGTGACTTCGTTCCTATGGGCAACACCTTTCAGTTACACATAGTTATCCACTGTTGATATAAACATATTGATTACTGCAGATTCAAATTCCTCCTTTCTGGGCCAATACATATAAAACAGCCCCAGACCCAATTCACATAAAAGCACTTTGAGCCATACTGCATGCTATAGTGTATTATTATATAAATTAATTGGTTAACTTTTTTTTTATAAGATAGAAGAATAATCACATTTGCCCCCTTTTTTTAAATGATTTAAAAATCTATGTTTGTGTCACAGAAATAAATGTGGATTTATTTGTGTATACACTCCCAAAATACCCCACTCAAGGTCAGAGTGTGTCACAGGGACCATATGTTCACTGTTTTTAGCTCTGCCTCTTCTGTGCCAAAGACTGAGGGCTGAAAGGAGCCGACATGTTGTGCGTTTGGTTCATGCAGTTATGAATGAGCAGCTATAACCAGCACAGATGAGCACACATTAACAGATGTTATCAATGAAACAATAGGAGGAACCCTCTGTGCTGCAGCATTTCTCTGCACCACTGGATGGCACTGCTCCTCCTCCCCTCTCGTCAGCCTCCCTTCACCACTCCCTCCCTCCATGCACTCCTTTTCTCTCTCGCCCTTTTCCTGCGTCTCCTCATCTCATGTAGGAGGAAGATTAGAATCGCCAGAGAGCACAACGAGGATTACCAGATCGATATCGGAGACAATCTCTTTCTCCCATCTCTTTTACATGGTCTATCCCTCCATTTCCCTCTCCTCTCTGCCTCTGTCACTCACTCGCGCTCCGTGGTTAATTTGTGTTTTCACCCTCTGCCCTTCAAGTCACTCTTTGCTTCTGGGTATATAAGGGTAAAACGAGAGGGTGGAATGGGGGGTTGGACAGATAAAGAGACAAACGTGCACAAAAAGAAAAAGACAGATACAGCTGAGATGAGAGATTTTGTTTCCTTTCACTGAGATACTATTGATTCACCACGACCTGCTTTCACACACAGTCATAATATTCAATGCTGTTAATTCATCACACAACACCGGCTAAGCTGAGGCTCCGGGAGAGACGACATAACCCATTTCATACACGGACACAGATTCATAGCTGAGTGGCGATGATAAAAACACCTAGAGGTATTTTTCTGT